TCCTCTTCTTCCTCGTCCTCCCTCTCCCCACCTCATCCTTCCATCATCATCATCCCATTGTCGTCCTCCCCCTCACCGGCCTCCATCATCGTCCTCCCATTGTCGTCCATCATCATCCTCCTCCCCTCCTCCCCCTCCTCCCCCTCCTCGTCCTCCTCCTTCCCCTCCTCCCCCTCCTCCCCCTCCTCGTCCTCCTGCTCCTCCTCCTCCTCTTTCTCCACATTCTTCTTACATCCTCTCTTCTTCCGCGTCCTCCTCGTCCCCTGTTTACTCCTCCTGCCTCCCCCTCCTTTCCCAAGATAACGGCAACGCAATCATTTGTTCCATGTTATGCTCCCCGACTTCTCTGATCAAGGCAACTCGCCAGGGCAAAGTTGCTGGACGGGCTGGCGTGGATGCGCGGGGTTTGAAGAGGTCGTTGCGGGCTCAGACGGCATGCAACAATCCGCCGCCGCGTTTGTGCGGCATTGGTTTGTTCAGTGAACGTGGTTTTGGTCGCGGTTGGGTCGCGGGCTCTCCCCCTCCACCTAGAAGGAATGCAAAAACAGCCCGCCGCAGGCGCCGAAACATTTGGTTTGTACACTGAACGTGGTTTGGGTCGCGGGTGGGCCGCGGGTTCTCCACCGGGAACGACTGCAAAAGATGCCCGCCGCAGGCGCCCAAAAATTCGGTTTGTACCCTGAACATGGTCGCGGGTGGGCCGCGGGCTCTCCGCCTGAAACGAATGCAAAAGATGCCCGCCGCAGGCGCCGAAAAATGTGGTTTGTACCCTGAACGTGGTTTGGGTCGCGGGTTGGTCGCGAGTTGGTCGCGGGTGGGTCGCGGGCTCTCCACCTGGAAGGAATGCAAAAAAAGCCCGCCGCAGGCGCCGAAAATGGTGGTTTGTACCTTGAACGTGGTTTGGGTCGAAGGTGGGTCGCGGGTGGGTCGCGGGGTGGGTCGCGGGTGGGTCGCGGGTGGGTCGCGGGTGGGTCGCGGGTGGGTCGCGGGTGGGTCGCGGGGTGGGCCGCGGGCGGGTCGCGGGGTGGGTCGCGGGTGGGTCGCGGGTGGGTCGCGGGTGGGTCGCGGGGTGGGTCGGGGTGGGTCGGGGTGGGTCGCGGGTGGGTCGCGGGTGGGTCGCGGGTGGGTCGCGGGGTGGGTCGCGTCGCGGGTGGGTCGCGCGGGTGGGGCGGGGTGGGTCGTCGCGGGTGGGTCGCGGGTGGGTCGCGCGGGTGGGTCGCGGGTGGGCGAGTCGCGGGTGGGTCGCGGGGCGGGTTGCGGGTGGGACGACGACAACAAACAACAACAACAACAACAACAACAAACAACAACAACAACAACAACAAGAATCCGCACCGCGGAATCCCACTTCAGCCACGCACCCAGGGACAGTGAATGACCGTTCGGCGCCCTCACTCTGACAGGGAATCCTGTTAGTTTTGTGTGTGTGTGTGTGTGTTGGTGTGGGTGTGGGTGTGGGTGTGGGGGTGTGGGTGTGTGGGTGTGGGTGTGTGGGTGTGGGTGTGGGTGTGGGTGTGTGGGTGTGGGTGTGTGTGTGTGTGTTGTGTTGTGTGTTGTGTTGTGTTGTGTTGTGTTGTGTTGTGTTGTGTTGTGTTGTGTTGTGTTGTGTTGTGTTGTGTTGTTGTGTTGTGTTGTGTTGTGTTGTGTTGTGTTGTTGTTGTGTTGTGTTGTGTTGTGTTGTGTTGTGTGTGTGTTGTGTTGTGTTGTGTTGTGTGTGTGTTGTGTTGTGTGTGTGTGTGTGTGTGTTGTGTTGTGTGTGTTGTGTTGTTGTGTTGTGTTGTGCTGTGCTGTGCTGTGCTGTGTGCTGTGTTGTGTTGTGTTGTGTTGTGTTGTGTTGTGTTGTGTGTGTGTGTTGTGTTGTGTTGTTGTGTTGTGTTGTGTGTGCGTGTGTGCGCGCGCGCAGATGGCACAGCGAGTCGGCGCGCGGGTGTACACCTCCTCCTCCCCCTCCCCCTCCTCCCCCTCCTCCTCCCCTCCTCCTCCTCCTCCTCCTCCTCCTCCTCCTCCTCCTCCTCCTCCTCCTCCTCCTCCTCCTCCTCCTCCTCCTCCTCCTCCTTCTCCTCCTCCCACCCTCTCCCGCTCCGGCCCCTCTCCGGGAGGGGCCTCCGGGCCTCGCGGAGGCAGCGCCCGCCCGCGCCACCGCCGAGCCTGGCCGGGGCCGCCCGCCGCGGGCCGACGACTAGGGGGCCAACAGCGGGCCGATGACCGAGCGTTTTCGGCCGTTTTTTCCTGAGCTTTTCGTCCGTGCCTCCGGCGGGGGCAGGAGGATCGAGGATCCAGTTTGGGCGCTCGGAATGGGTATACCGAAAGAAGGGGCACAATGCCCAGCAACACATGTGGTCCCAAGGCCCAAACCAACAGCGGCCGCTGTTGGGCAGGCGGCCTTCTGTCTCGAATGGGCACAGGCCGCGGCGACACCGACAGCGAGTCCTGTTCAGAATGAACAGGAACTGCTGTTGGGCATTGTACCCAGTCTTTCCGTACCCATTTCGGGCGTCCAAATCCAGGCCTTTTTGTTGCGGGGGCCTTTCGGGGCCAGTTTCGGGGGATCGCGGTCGGTTTCGCGGGTGGAGAGACCTGCCGCCCTTCCGAATCGGATCGCGAGTGCGTGTGTGGGGCCCAGTTGTCTGGCCGTTCGACGGGGTGATGCGGCCGCTGTTGTTGCAGGTGTGCGCCCGCCAGCGGGGTCCGGTACCAAGGTAGGGGACCACGTGCGAACACTACCCCTATACCCCCCATGATTTCGGAGGGGGAGGGTGGGGTTCGCTTCGCTCGGGAGCTCCCGCGCGTCGTGGACCCCACCCTCTCCCCCCTCAGCACTCGTGGGGGGCAGGGCTATAGCCTATAGGGCTCGCGCGTGGCCCCCTTATAGTCGTGGCCCGGCGCGCGCGCCGCTCCCGGCCGAGGCCGGGAGGGCCTCGCGGCGGCCTATGGGCGGGGCGCGGCGGTGCCGCGGGCCGGGCGCGGCGGTGGCGTGCAGGGGCTGCTCCTGCGGAGCCTCGCGAGGGGCGGGCCCTCGCAGGGCCCCGCCAACTCCAGAGAGCGCGAGGAAGGGTGGCGCTCCGCGCGCGTCGCGGCCGGGGATGGAGATCGGCGCCCTGCTCCTGAGGGCTCCTCCTGCGGATATCCCCGCGAGGGGCGGGCCCCTGCAGGGCCGAGCCAATGCCAGAGAGCTTAACTACCAGCCTGGAGCAGATGCCTATCCCTAGGCTGGGCACCTCCTCATCACGGTGCCGGTCTTAGGGAGTCCCTGATGTTTTGAAGGCGGATCCCTAAGATTGTCATCGCCTTTTGGCGTGCCATTCCCTAGGCTGGGCACCTCCTCATCACGATGCCGGTCTTGGGGATTCCCTGATGTTTTGAAGGCGGATCCCTAAGATTGTCATCGCCTTTTGGCGTGCCAATCTCAGGGATATCGGGCCGGGCGAAAGGGGGGGATTGGGAAAGGGGGGGTTACGAAATTTGCTGCATGCAGCTGGTTTCGGCCTCACCGAGGGGCCCCTTCCTCGATACATGGCCGCCTCCGGCGCCGGGAGGCGCCGGGAAAATCAGCTACGTGAGCTGATTCTCAAACCCCCCCTTTGCTATCCCCCCCTTTCGCCCGACCCGAGGATAGGGATGCGTTCGAGGCTGGTATAGAGAGCGCGAGGGGGGGCGGCGCTCCGCGCGTCGCGGCCGGGGTTGGACAGGCGCCCTGCTCCGGGGCGGCGGCGCGAGGGCGCGGCGATGACCGCGCGTCGGGGTCCGAGCGTTTTCGGCCGTTTTTTCCTCCTCCTCCTCCTCCTCCTCCTCCTCCTCCTCCTCCTCCCACCCTCTCCCGCTCCGGCCCCTCTCCGGGAGGGGCCTCCGGGCCTCGCGGAGGCAGCGCCCGCCCGCGCCACCGCCGAGCCTGGCCGGGGCCGCCCGCCGCTGGCCGACGACTAGGGGGCCAACAGCGGGCCGATGACCGCACGTTTTCGGCCGTTTTTTCCTGAGCTTTTCGTCCGTGCCTCCGGCGGGGGCAGGAGGATCGAGGATCCAGTTTGGGCGCTCGGAACGGGTATACCGAAAGAAGGGGTACAATGCCCAGCAACACATGTGGTCCCAAGGCCCAAACCAACAGCGGCCGCTGTTGGGCAGGCGGCCTTCTGTCTCGAATGGGCACAGGCCGCGGCGACACCGACAGCGAGTCCTGTTCAGAATGAACAGGAACTGCTGTTGGGCATTGTACGCATTCTTTCCGTACCCATTTCGGGCGTCCAAATCCAGGGGTCGAGGACCGAAAGCTTTTGGGAGGTTTCAGGCCTTTTTGTTGCGGGGGCCTTTCGGGGCCAGTTTGGGGGGTCGCGGTCGGTTTCGCGAGAAACCTGCCGCCCTTCCGAATCGAATCGCGAATGCGTGTGTGGGGCCCAGTTGTCTGGCCGTTCGACAGGGTGATGCGGCCGCTGTTGTTGCAGGTGTGCGCCGCTAGCGGGGTCCGGTACCAAGGAAGGGGACCACATGCGAACCCTACCCCTACCCCCCATGATTTCTGAGGGGCAGGGTGGGGTTCACTTCGCTCGGGAACTCCCGAGCGGAGTGAACCCCACCCTCCCCCTCAGAAATCGTGGAGGGTAGGGGTAGGGTTCGCACGTGGCCCCCTACAAGGTCGTCCACTTCAGAGCGCGTTTGCTGAAGAAAGCGCGGGTTCCTGTCCATCCGTGGAGGTCCCAGACTGCGCGGGGCAGGCATGGGGGGCAGAAGGGGAGACGGGGGCAGAGAGGAAGAGGGAAGGAAGGGGGAGAGGGATAGGAAGAGGGGGGGGTGAGGCACCAGAGAGGGGCAGGAGGAGGAGGAGGGGCGGAAATGGAGAGTGAGGCGGTGGTGGAGAGCGGGGGGAGGAGGAGCATGACTGCCGGCGGGGGGGGGGAGGAGAGGGGGGCGCAGGAAGAGGAGGGCCGCGGAGGAGAAGGGAGGACAATCGCATCCCCCGCTCTCTTTCATGGTCCTCCTCCGCCCCCCCACCATGGCCCCCTCGCGAGGACCTCTGCCCCTCGGTGCTCGACCTGATGTGCGCCGTGGTCCACGGCTGCTGGGGCCGTCTCGGCGCCACGCTCGCCTCGCTGGCGCTGCTCCTTGGAGATGGGGGGGGGGGGGGGGACGGCGGGAGAGGGGGAGGGGAGGCCGGAGGCAGCAGGGGAAAGCAGGCAAGGGGGAGGGGAGGAGGGGGAACGAGGTGGCAGGTGGAAGGGGTGGGGGCAGGCGGGGGAGGGGCCATGGGGGCAACAGGAGCGCAACCACAGCAAACGAAAGGAGAGGGCTTCCGTGATTTCGATGGGGTCGGTTCGGACCCCAGGGCCATCATGAGTCCATGTGTGACGGGGAACTGGACATGATTGGCCCAGGGACGGGTCCAGGGATAGATTGTGAGTGGGCTGGAGGGCTAGCCAGCAGACGAAGAGCACGCAAATATCCTCACACATAGAAAGGTAGGCAAGACATATACATTGCGTAGAAGATAGTAAGTTGTGCTATCACTATGCAGAAATATTGTTGTATCCAAGATGCACGTGTAAGTATTAGCTAGTAGTTTTGTGATGCAGTACTACTGGCCAGTAATAGCAACAGCACGAATGTCATGTGCTCTATTGTTGTTTCTTTTGCCGGGTATCCGTGGGGCTGGTTTCCTGGTGCCCTGCGTTTCTTGGGTTCGCGCTTTGAGGTTTCCGTTGGCCGTGCCTCGAGATTTTTGGATTCGGGGTCGCCGTTTCCGCGGGCCGTTTCTTCACCCCCCGCCCTTTCGTCCTCCATCAATCCTCTTGCCCCGGTCCCTGCATCTTGCAAATATTTCTCCATTGTCTCGCCAGCCCTTCCTACACCTTAGGCGATGCTGAAGAAAACTTAAAGTTTCGGCCAGAGTCTTGATGATTCTTAACGTTTCCATGTAAATCCTAAGATTTGAATCGGAATTCTGGGTTTTTACTGAAGTTCTGAGGCTATGAATTTCTTGACCCATGATTTCTTAAGCATTTCGCAGGGTGTACCAGTTCTTTTCCTTCCCATCGAGTTTGTCCTCCATTCCGCCCTCGACCAGCCCCCCTGTCGACCGGCCCTCCCTGCAGCTTTAATATACCATGTCCTCCTCTCGGTCCTGCTCTTGGCATCTCTACCTCATGCCTCCACTTCTTCTAGTTTTCGGCACTACCCCTCCATAGCACTCTGGCCCTCAACTCATCTGAGGCGAGGATGAGGAGGAGGAGTGGGGCAGCACTACGGCAGCGAGGATCACCCTCACACTGCCGCCACCCTGAGTCCTAAGAACTGGGGAGGGCAGCGAGGAGGGTCGCAAGGAGGAGGAGGTGGAGGAGGTGGCGGAGGAGGACGAGGTGCAGGAGCAGGATGAGGAGGAGGAGGACGACGAGGAGGAGGTAACCGCTAAAGGTCTTTAGTTTGTTGTCCCCCCTTTTCTCCCGGCGGTGAATAGGACTGGTCCTAAAACTTCCTCCTTCTCCCTCCTCCTCCTCCCTTCTCCTCCTCCTCCTCCTCCTCCTCCTCCTCCTCCTCCTCCTCCTGTTTAGGAATGGCAGGTATTCGTAATCGTAGTCGTAGCTGCCGTTGTAATCGCAATCGTAGTCGTAGCTGTCGTCGTCGTTGTTGCGCGGAGGGTGCCAAGGAAGTATCTAATGAGTTCCCCGCTGTGGTACCCCAGTCCTTACATAAGGCCGCCGGAAAAAATCTTGACGCTTCGCCGACCCATCAGCATTGCACCGCTGCGGATGGCTACCCGGCTGGACGGGCCTTCGTCGTGGCCCTCGGCCGCCGGACGGGCACCTTCCGCCCGAGGGCCAGGACTCGCTCCGTGGTGCGCCGCCTGTTCGGCCAGGGCGCCCTGCCGACCGGGCTTTCCCTGGACGCAGACCGTCACCCCCAGCGCTGGCCCCACGCTATCATTGCAGGCCCGCTCGCCCACGTGGAAGGGGTCGCACGGCTCCGTGCCTCGCGACTGCGGTGGATGGCTGGTTCTGCGGTCGGCGCCTGCAGGCCCAACGCCGAGGGAACGCTTGACGAGATCAGTGGGTGACGCCATCGCATTGTGGACGCCGTCGAATTCGCAGCCATTTTGTTGGCCTGCCACCGGGTCCTCGCCTGGTCCTTTTGAGCTGCGGTAGACCCCGCCCCCGCGGCTTAGAATGTAAGTTTGCCCGCCGCTTGTCTGCTTTGCGCGCGTTCGGCTCCGTTTTAGGCCGCAGTACGTCAGGTCGTCGCCAGCAGTCCCCTGACGGCGCGCGGCTCCTCCGCTGGCGCTCGCGAGCCAAAAAGGTAACCCCATCAGCCCATCCAGAGACGGTGCCCAGAGGGGAAGTGGGCAGCACGCAGAGGAAGGGTCCCTCTTGGAGCGCTCGTAGGACTCTCTTGGGCGCTCCAGGGGCCGTATTGGGGTTCTCCTGGGCCTCTATGGAGTGTCTTGGGGGCTTCTTGGCAGACCTGGAAGCCTCTTCGAGCGTCTTGCGTGCTTCGGGGGGCCTCTTGGGGGTTTCTTGGGAACCTCTTGGAGGCCTCTTGGGCGCCCCTGGGGGCCTGCTGGACGCCTCTTGGCGCCCTCTTGAACCGATTTTGGGAACCTTGGGATCTCTCTTGGGGCCATATTGGGGGAGATCAATCAAGGAAGGGGGAGCCCCAATTTCCGCCCCCCCTCGAGAGCCCCACAAATCACCTCTCAGACCTCTCTTGGAGCGCTCTTGGGGCGCTCTTGGGACCGCTCCGGGGCGCCCTTGGGCCTCTCTTGGGGCCCTCTTGGGCCATCTTGGGGCCACCCTGAGGCTTCCGAAGACCATCGAAAGCAACGGGACGAAAGAGCGAATTTCATTCATTTGTCCATAGGCTTTTCCCAACATCCAAAGTGGGTTTCTTGTTTTCTCTGCACACCCTCCGCGCAGGATCTCTCTCTTTTCTCCCTTCGCGCACTCGCATAATCACTCACGCACCATGATCACTCACGCTCACCCACTCACCCGCTCACTCACCCGCTCATTCAGGCACGCTATCATCATCATCGTCAGCATCATTCGCACACCCACTCACTCACACATTCATCGCCCGCATTCACTCGCCCATTCGCTCACCCACCTACCCACCCACTCATTCACTCATCATCATCGCCATCATCATCACCATCAGCATCCTCACCTTCAGTCTCTCACTTAGTCACTCACCCGCTCAATCACACCCACGCAATCAGGTGAGAGCCTCGTCTGTGAGTGAATTGCGGCGAAGTCTCAGGCAGGAGCCCCCTCCCTATGGAGCCCGCACTTCATGTTGGCAATCCGAGCGGGTCATCGGAATCCTGTAACTGTCGTCACTTGTCGGGTCCTGGGTTTTACAAGTGGAGGAATTATCCGGCGGCGGGAGCCTCGTTTGTGAGCGAATAGCGAGAAAGCCTCAGGCAGGAGACCCCTACCCATGGGGCCCGCATTTCGCGTAGGTAATCCGAGCTGGTCATCGGAACCCTGTAACCGTCGTCATTTTGCGATGAGGCCTGAACATTGAGAAAGTATGCGGGCGCCCCCCCTCCCCCAATGGGGCCCGCACTTCACGTCGGTAGTCAGAACCAGACATCGGGCCCTCGTACGTGTCGTCACTTTTGGGTCCCTCAGCCTTGAAAGTGGAGGATGTATTCAGCGGGATCCTCGTGTGTGAATGAAGTGCGGGGACCTTTCAGGCGGGAGCCCCTTCCCTATGGGGCCCGCATTTCATGTTGGTAAGCCGAGCGGGTCATCGAAACTTTGTATTTGTCGTCGTGGTTTGATCCTTGATGCTTGAAAATGGGGGAAGTATCTGGTGGGAGCTTCATCTGCGTGGGGGCCGCAGCTCATGTGAGAAACGCACAACTGACAATATGCTGACACCTCCGCCGCCCCTGTCGCAAACAATACAAAGTGTTCGCGGGCCTCACGGACATGATTCAAGACTTTTCCCCAAAGTGCATTTTGCATTGTTTTTTGGCCCGGGTGGTGGGGGGAACGCATCGGGTTTGCCGCGCATGGTCCAAATGTGGAGACAGAGTGCGGCTTGTATTGTTTCTGATAGGGACGGTGTGGAACGGGCCCGCATGAAGTCGGCATGGTTCCAGGTTGGCCGCCGGCAGGGTGGGGGGGGGTGTATAATTATAACGACCAGTGATCAAGACACCCCCCTAGATAGCAAGCCGTCTAGCTCATTCCCGCCCTCCTTCCCAACATATAAGGTACACCCGAGCCTCAGCATGTTCAGCGCTCGTCGTTGGATGGGCAGCTACTGGGGACCAAAACCGGCCCCACGTGTGCGCGACGCTGGGGCCCGAGCGTGGCAGGCACGTCTGGTGCACCAGTTGCGCCACGTGCCCCACGTGCGCCAAGTGTGCTGCATACTCCAACCGCGCCAGGTGCGCCACGTTCGGGGCACGTGCAGAGTGTGTCAGGTGCGCCTGCGCACGTGACAGCACACATCGGGAACCATGTCGACCCCCACCATCCTTGTCGAAAACCCATACCCATCATTGTGTCTGGTGGGCCTGCGCACAGCAGGCCATACGCCACCACCCCCGCCGTCCCTGTCAACAGCCACATCACACTGATCGCAGGGCGTTTGCGCATGATCCAGATTTATCCGAGAGGTGCATGTTGTACTGTTTTTGATAGGGGTCGTGGGATTGCGCGCAACAGACAATATGATGACATGTCCGCCGTCCCTGTCAACAAACTACAAAGTTTTCAAGGGCCTCACGAACATGATTCAAGAGTTTGCCCCAAGGTGTATTTCGAATTTTGATAGGGACGGAGGGGGGGCCGCATTGGGTCGGTTGCGCATGCTCCGAATGTGGAGGCATAGTGCGGTTTGTACGGATGGATGGGGGGGTGACCATGGTGTCGTCATTGTTCCTGGTTGGCTGCCAGTCGCCTGGGGGAAGGAGTGTATATCAATGAAGGACAATGATGAACCCTTCCCCCAAAGGGAAGAAGGGGGCTCGAAGAGCAACTTTTCTAGACCACCTACCCAGAGGGCTGGTGGGACTGATTTTCACTTATTGGGGGGGTTCTACAAATATTTCAGTGGTGCCAGGCAGGTGGTGGAGGGATGGAGGGGAGAAGGACGAGCGACGACGAGGATGACCAGGAAGGGGCCGCCGGAGGAGCCCTGTACTGCTGCTGGCTGGGCGTGAGGCGCGGGGCCTTCTGCAGGATGGCCGAGTGCTGCTGCGGCGAGTCCTCAGCGCAGCGCGGCAGGAGCCCCGCGGACAGGCCGACGCCGACGACGCCGAAGACGTCCTCGACGCCGACCACGACGACGACGACGACGTCAACGACGACGACGACAATGATGACGGCGACGGACACAGCGACGGAGACGCCGACGGCCACGGCCACGGCCACGGCCACGGCCACGACCACGGCCACGGCGACGGCGACGGCGGCGCCGACGGCGACGGCGACGGCGACGGCGATGGTGACGGCGACGACGGCGACGACGACGGCCACGGCGACGGTGACGGCGACGGCGACGATGGCGACGGCGACGATGGCGACGGCTATGCCGAAGCCGACAACGACGACGACGGCGGCGGCGACGGCGACGGCAGCGATGGTGGCGACGACGACTGCGACGGCGGCTGCAGCGGCGAACCCCGCGGAAACGCCGACGCCGAAGACGCCTTCGACGCCGACCACGACGACGACGACGCCGGCGACAACGTCGACAACGACGGCGGCGATGGCGACGCCGACGCCGACGGCCACGGCCACGGCCACGGCCATGGCCACGGCGACGTCGACAGCGACGGCGGCGGCGTCGGCGACGGCGACGACGGCATCGGCGACTGCGACAGCGACGGCGGCGACGGCGACGGCGACAGCAACGACGAAGGCGGCTGCAATGGCGACGGCGACGCCCACGGCGGCGACGACGACGACGACGACATCGACGGCGCCGCTGCTGCGGACGAGGATGGCGACGACGAGGACGCCGACGCCGACGACGCCGAAGACGCCGAATATTTCGACGCCGACAATAACGACAAGGACGACGACGACGACGACGGCGACGACGACGACGACGGTGACGGCGACGACGACGATGACGGCGACGGCGACGGCAACGGCGGCGTGCCACGGCGGCGACGGCGACAGCGACGGCAACGGCGGCGGCAGAGGCAACGGCAACGGCGACGGCGACGACGGCGACGGCGACGGCGACGGCGGCTGGGACGGCGGCGGCGACGGCGATGGTGGCGACGACGGCCACGGCGACGGCTACGAGGGGACGACGACGAAGACGACGGCGACTGCGATGGCGACGACGTCGGCGACGGCGACGGCGACGGCGACGGCGACGACGACGATACCGACGATGACGACGACGACAGTTCCGCCGCTGCCCACGACGAGGATGAAGGTGACGACGACGGTGGCGACGCCGACGACGCCGAAAACCCCGACGCCAAGGACGACGACGACGGCGACAACGGCGACGACGGCGACGGCCACGGACACGGCCACGGCCACGGCCACGCCGACGGCAACAGCGACGGCGACGGCGGCGACGGCGACGGCGACGCTTGCGACGGCGACTGCGACGGCGACGGCGGCGGCGACGGCCACGACGACGGCGGCGACGGCGACGACGACGACGACGACGGCAACCGCGACGGTGGCGATGGTGGCGACGGCGACTTCGACGGCGACGACGACGACGAAGACGGAAACGGCGACGGCGACGACGACGACGCCGACGCCAGGGACGACGACGAAGACAACGCGATGCCCACAGCGACGGCAACGACGGCGAGTGTGACGACGGCGACGGTGGCGACAGCGACACCGACGGCGGCGGCGATGGTGGCGACGACAGCGACGGCGCCGACGGCAACGGCGACGGCGACGGCGATGCCACCGACGACGACGACTATGACGACGACCACGACCACGACCACGACGACGACGACCACCTCGGCGACGAAGACAGCGACGGAGAGGAGTGCGACGAAGACGGCGACGACGGGGATTGCGGCGACGGCGACGACGACGATGTCGCTGGCGCCGATGACGACGTCGACGTTGCCGACGCCACCGACGACGACGACCACGACGACGGAGACGGAGACGCCGACGCTGGCGACTGACGACGGCGACAGCGACGGCGACGCCGACGACGGCGGCGACTGCGACGCCGACGGCGGCGGCGAAGGCGACGGCGACGGCGACTGTGACGACGACGCCGACGCCGACGCTTTCGACGGCGACGACGACGACGCCGATTCCAAAGGCGTCGGCGACGGCGACGCCACGGACGAATGCGACAACGACGACGACGAGGACGACGACGTCCACGACGACGACCACGACCACGACGACGGCCACGACGACGGCGACGTTAGCGGCGACAACGACGACGACGACGGAGATTAAAACAGCGACGGCGACGCCGACGACGAGGATTACTGCGACAGTGACGACGACGATGACGCTGGCGCCGACGTCGACGACGCCGACGCCACCGATGACGACGAAGACGACGACGACGACGACGACGACGACGACGACGGCGACGGAGACGCCGACGCCGCCGCCGCCGCCAACACCGACGCCGACGCCGACGCTGACGACGGCGTCGACGGCGTCCACAGCGACCTCGACGACGACAATTGTGACGACAGCGACGGCGACAGCGACGGCGACGGCGGCGCTGATTGCGACGACGGCGACGTCGGGGACGGCAACGGCGACGGCGAAGACGACGACGCCGATGCCAACGGCGACGGCGACGGCGACGCCACCAACGACGACGACGACGACGACCACGACGACGGCGACGACGGACGGCGACGACGACGACGTCGGCGGCGACGGCGACGTCGACGACGGGAACTGCGACGACGGCGACGACGACGATGACGCCGACGCCGACGACAGCGGCGACAACGTCGACGCCACCGACGACGACGGCGACGACGACGACCACCACGACGGCGACGGAGATGCCGACGTCGACTCCACGCCGACGCCGAAGACGGGGACAGCGACGCTGACGACGGTGGCGACGGCGACGACGGCGACTGTGACGACGGCGACGACGATAGCGACGGCGACGATGGCGGCCACGTCGACGACGGCGACGGCGGCGACGACGAAGGCGACGGTGATGCCAACGGCGACGGCAACGCTGACGACGAAGGTGACGGCGACGGCGATGCCAAAGGCGACGCCGCCGACGATTACGACGCCGACCATGAGGACGACGACGACGACCATCACGATGACGGTGACGACGGCCACGGCGGCGACGGCGACGGCGACGACGGCGACGGAGACAGGGACAGCGATGGCGACGGCGTCGACGAGAACTGCGGCGACGACGACGTTGACGCCGCCGACGACGACGACGGCGACGCCGACGCCCACGGCGACGGCGACGACGGCGACTTTGACGGCGACGCCGACAAAGACGCCGACGACGGCGGCGACTGCGCCGACGGCGACGGAGGCGACGGCGACGGTGACGACGACGACGACGACGCCGATGCCAACGGCGACGGCGACGCCACCGACGACGACGACAACGAATACGACGGCGGCGGCGACAACGAATACGACGGCGACGGCGACGAAGACGACGACGACGACGACATTGACGACGACGACGACGGCGACGACTTCGACGATGACGACGACAACGACCACGTCGACGACGATCACGACAACCACGACGACGACAGGGACTGTGACGATTGCGACGATGACGATGACGCCGGCCCCGACGACGACATCGACGACGCCGAGGCCACCGACAACGACGAAGACGACGACGACTATTACGACGGCGACGGGGACGACGACGCCGACGCCGACCACGACGACGACGACGGCGGCGCCGACGCCCACGTCGACGACGACGACGGCGACGGCGACGACAACGACGACGACAGTTACGGCGACGGCAGGCGGCGACTGCGACGAGGGCGACAGCGGCGACGGCGGCGACAGCGACGGCGACGGCGAAATCGACGGCGACGGCGACGGTGACGACGACGACGGCGACGACGACGACGACGCCGATGCCAACGGCGACGGCGACGGCGACGCCACCGACGACGACGACGACGACCACGACCACGACCACGGCCACGACGTTGACGACGACCACGACGGCGACGGCGATGGCGACGACGGCGACGGAGACAGAGACAGCGATGGCGACGGCGACGACCAGGACCGCGGCGACGGCGTCGACGATGACGATGTCGCCGACGCCGACGACGACGGCGACGACGCCGACGCAACCGACGACGAAGACGACGACGACCACGACGACGGCGACGGTGACGCCGAAGCCGACGCCGACGACGACGACGGCGACGCCGACGCCCACGGCCACGGCGACGATGGCGATTGTAACGACGGCGACGGCGACGGCGACGTCGGCGACGACTGCGACGACGACGACGGCGGCGACAGCCATGGCGACTGCGACGGCGATGATGACGACAACGTCGACCGCGCCGATGCCAACGGCGACGGCGACGGCGACGCCACCGACGACGACCACGACCACGACCACGACCACGGCCACGACCATCACAAAGACGGCGACGACGGCGACGACGACGGCGACGGAAACGACGACGGCGGCGACGACGGCGACGACGACGGCGACGGAGACACATACAGCGACGGTGACGGCGACGACGGGGACTGCGGCAACGGTGGCGACGGCGACAACGCCGACGCCACCGACGACGACGAATACGACGACGCCCACGACGACGGCGACGCCGACGCCGACGACGACGACAATGCCAACGGCGACGCGCACGGCGACGGCGACGCCACCGACGACGACGACGACGCCGACGCCGACGGCGACAACGCCGACGACACCGACGACGTCGACGGCGACGGCGACGTTGGCGACGGAGGAAGAGACAGCGACGGCGACGGCGACGACGGGGACTGCGGCGACGGCAACGACGACGACGCCCACGACGACGCCGACGCCGACGACGACGACGCTGACGCCACCGACGGCTACGGCGACGACGACCACGACGACGGCGACAGAGACGCCGACGCCGACGCCAACGCCGACGCCAACGCCGACGACGGCGACGCCCACGGCGATGCTCACGGCGACGGCGACTACCACAACCGTGACGACGGCGATGGCGACAACGACGCTGACGGCAGCGGCGACTGCGACGACAGCGAAGGCGGCGACGGCGACGGCGACAGCGACGGCGACGGCGACGGTGACGACGACGACGACGACGGCGACGACGACGACGACCACGAGCACGTCGTCGGCGACCACGACCACGACCACGACGACGACGACGGCGACGGAGACGGCGACAGCGACGGCGACGGCGCCGGCCGCCAGCGTGGACTGTGGCAACGGCGACGACAACAATGACGCCGACGGCGACGGCGACGGCGTCGACGCCGACGCCGACGACGACGAAGACGACAACGACTAACCACGGAAACGGAGACGCCGACGCCGATGCCGATGCCGACGCCGACGACGACGCCGGCGCCGACGACGGCGACGCCGACGCCGACGGCGACGGCGACAATGGCGACTGGGACGGCGGCGACGGAGACAGCGACGCCGACGGCGGTTGCTACTGTGATGACGGCCACGACCGCGCCGAAGACTTTGACGACGGCGACGGCGACGGCGACGGCGGCGCTGACGACGACGACGACGCCGATGCCAACGTCGTCGGCGACGGTGACGCCACCGATGACGATGACGACGACGATGACCACGACCGCGACCACGACCACGACCATGACGGCGGTGACGACGACGACGACGACCACGCGACGGCGACGACGGCGACAGAGACAGCGACAGCGACGACTGGGACTGCGGCGAGGCCGACGATGACGCCGACGACGGCGACGACGCCGAAGCAACCGACGACGACGAAGACGACGATGATCGCGACGACGGCGATGGAGACGAGGACGGCGACGGCGACGCCGACACCGATTCTGGGGCCGACGACGGCGACGACGATGCCGACGCCCACGGCGACGGCGACGACGGCGACAGTGACGCCGGTGACGGCGACAACGCCGCCAACGGTGGCGGCGACTGCGACGACGGCGACGGAGGCGACGGCGACGACGACGATGACGACGACGACGACGACGGCGACCGCGACGGCGACGGTGACGACGACGACGACGACGACGACGCCGCTGCCAACGGCGACGGAGACGCCGACGCCGACGTCGACGACTACGATGACATCGACCACGACGACGGCGACGGCGACGGCGGCGGCGACTGCGACGACGACGGCGACGGCGACGGTGGCGACGGCGACGGTGACGATGACGACGACGACTACGGCGACGACAGGGATTGCGGGTACGACGACGCCGCCGACGCCGACGCTACCGACGACGACGACGCCGACGCTGCCGACGACGAAAACGACGACGACCACGAAGACGGCGACGGAGACGGCGAGGACTTGGACGCCGTCGACGGGCGGCGGCGGCGACGTGCCCCCTGCAGGAGCGCCACGGTGGACGCCCGGCAACTTGCCGTCTTCTCGGTGGCGCCGGTGGCGCCGAGAGGCGGCGCGGCCGTGAAGGCCGTGTGCGCGCTTTGCCGCCAGGGGTCGCGTCGCCGCGGCCGCCCGTCGCGGTCGCCGTCGACGGCGTGGAAGTCGCCATCGTCGTCGTGGTCGTCGTATTCGTCGTCGGCGCGCGCCGCCGCTGGGAGGTGGAGGGTTTCTGCCGAAGCAAAACAAGTCGAGCTCAAACCCGTGCGCCGGACGGCGGGCCCCTCGAGAGCGCAGGTCGTGGCATTCGGCAGCGTGCTACACATGTACAGGCGCGCGCCACGATCCTACAGTGCTGTTTTTAATACATGCTCCGCGTGCGGATCATGTGTTAAAAATGCAGGAAGCTAGCATTAAAAACAACGGTAAGTTCATGCATAAATTTATTCATAAAATAGTCATGCATTAAAATTTTATATTTCAAAAGATCCCATGTATTAAAAACTGCCCTGTAGGAAGCACCACGTGCGTCTAAGCAGTTGCGGGGGACTCATCCACAGGGCGTGTTCGTTTAGAATATGATAGCACCAATTCTGAGAGTCCGCGGCTCGCCTTTCGCACACACACACACACACACACACTTTGTCATAGAAGAAACTGCATAAACATGAATGTTCGGAGTTCCGCGCGGATTTCTTTCATCGGCGCTCGGATCCCCCTGGCGGCTCCTCCGGCGCCGCCACTGGCGAGCACCGCGCGCCAGGGAGGGGTTCCAGAGCGGATCTCACAAATCCGTGTGGACCTCCAAAGGATGTTGTTCTTCCAATCTGGCGTCTTGCCAGGTTTTCGGACGCTCCCGTCGGTTCCTGTGGGTTTGTCAGCCTCGGGATTCGTGGCGTGGATAGTTCGAGAAGATGACATGGATCACGGACGACAGCGAGGTGCCGGCGACGGAGGAGGATACCATAAAGGAGGTGGTGGTGAAATCTATGAGGGCACCGCGGGCTGATCGAGAGTAGGGCCTACGAGAGGCCCGGTGCACGCACAAGGTTTCCACAATCGACCACGGAAGGTCGATTTTGCCGTTGTTGGGGTTGGGCCCAATGCGGACCAGACGCATCTCTTGGTTGTCATGCTATGTAACAATTTGTTGTCAAGCGACGGGAGCGCACTTCACAGACTTACTGGTGGAGGTAGATACGATACCAAAGTGGGAATTGATTTTTGCTCAACGAGTCATGTCGGGAGCATAGTGAGGAGCAGTTTGACTTGGGCAATGGTCATATTTTCTGTGGCTCCGGAGGCGCTCCGGGAAAAGTCGGGGTGGCGATGCGATTGCATTCGCGATGGTCGTCTTCAATGTTTCCTTTGTACGGCGCTAGTCTGCTGGATGCACGTTATTTCCGGCCGCAGTCGCAAGAACATCATGTCTTGCCAAACGCTTCTTTGCCAAACGATGTCTTGCCAAATGCTTTGATGGAAGTTATGTTCTGCTTACTTGCCAAACGCAGAGGTTGAGGTCGTGCACAATGCTCTGTCCAGGTGCAATGCTGATGCAGAGAGGAAAACATGGATTCCATTGTTGGTGGGGATTGGAATACTGCGACTGGAGCTCAGGCAAAGCATCTGGCAGACGATCGTGTGGACGAGCACGTTTGATGGGACAACCAAGTGACCAGGACTTCCCGATGGCACCGTGGGCCTGGTCTGAGCGCCTTGCGGTGGCCAGCACGTGTGATCCCCAAAGAAATTGATCAGCAGTGGACACACATCCACGCAGGAGTTCGTCGTCAAATTGATTACTTCTGCATTGGCGCGGGCGCTTTGGATATGGTCGCATACACGGCGGCCACGAGCAGCGTCAACGCTGGAGCCGACCACCAATCCGTATCTTGGATTGAGAATCGGAGCTCATGTGGGCGACAAGCGAAGCATGATAAAGCCCACTGAAAGACGATGGCCCCCGTCGTCAGTAAGCTTGTTGTCCGACATTGTTGAGAGCATGATCGAGGACAACCGTCCAGGTATTGAAAACCCGTCTCAAATTGACGACGTATGCCACTTCATTGAGCGCTCGCTTATGCAGTCATTGGCAGATTCGTGTGTGCAGCTCCAGCAGGTCAAAAGTAAGAACGGCCGCTGGAATGCGGAAGGAGAGCGCGACGCGACGCCAGAGGGGCACACAATCGGCCAGCGAAGGTGATCAGCGAGGATAAGCAAAAAAGAGCTCCAGAAGTTTGAACGGACACGAAAGCAAAAGAACATCGGTCAAATTCTCCGGATTTTCCGCGGTTGTCGGAACTTGGCGCAAAGCGCAGCTCACCAGCGCGACCGACCACGATGGGCGAGAGCAGACAGGTAAGCAATGTATAGTAAAGGTGGTAGCTACGTCTTACGAAGACTTCTATTCCGCAGCGGTACTGCCCTGACCGGCCCGGCGGACCAGCTCAGCGCGCCCAGGTCGGTGCCGTGATTCTGCCCGCAACGGCGCAGGAGGTGAGACGACAAGCCGAACGCCCAAAGAAGGGGAAGGCCCCTGGGAGCGAAGGCATCGTGGGGGAAATGGGCAAGTGCGGAGGGCCTGTACTGATGGAGGCTTTAGCGGCGTGTTTCACCGATCTCCTGGCCGAAGAAGAGGAGCGTGGAGACACTCCCGCGCCACGGTGCCCTTCAACATGGGGGCCCGATGTTGCAGGAAAAGTACCGAGCAATACTTTTTAGGCGTTGCTTGAACGGCCGCAGCCATTTTAGAAACGCAGCAATTTGTGAGCAAGCTCGATTTCGCAAAGGTTTTGTCTGCAATGGTCACTTTCTCAGATTGGCGCAAATACAGCAGATATGCTGGGAGCCTGGCGTTGAAATTTGGATCGCAGCGGTTGATTTTGAGATGGCGCCCGGCTCCGTCTCGCACGAGTGCGTTTGGGAATCCCTGCGCGCGCTACAATCCCCAAATCAATATGTTCGAGTCCTTTCGGGTCTGCGCGGAGGGCAGGCGGGCCAGGCTTGCTCGGAATGCAGCAGTCGAGTAGATCGCCTCGAGAGAGGGACGCGGCAGGGAGATCCGCTAATCCGAGTTGTTTTCAATGCTTTCCTCAAAACATACCATGAAAGACCGCTGGGGAGTGCCCAGCGGTCCGCGCCACCGCGGCCGCGTCGGTCGCGCCAAAGTAGTTAGCTGGCCGCTTCGCGCGCGAGCATGCGCGTGCTAGCGCGGCCATAGAGATGCACCAGCCATTAGCAAGCACTCATCACAATCGCTGGCGCATGGGTTCTGCAAACCAAGTTGCGGGTGGGTGGGTGGGATGGTTGTGCGAGAAGTGAGATTTATATTGCACCACGTAGGTTGCACCACATAGGTTGCAAGAAACCGCTGTGTGGGGCCCGCGATGGGTAGCATGTTGTAGAAGCTCCACGTAAGAAACACCAGCGTGTACCCTTGATAACCGACGCCATCCGCTGCTATTTTCGATTGATATTGTGCATGTTGCCTATTCCGTGCCCACACTACAAGTGCGCACAATTGCTGGCTGTTGCTTCGGCGTTGTGGCGTTTTCCCAGCACGCATCGTGGTGCTCTTTAACAACCCTCCTGTTAAGTCGTCGCAACATCCAACCCAGCGCTGCGGCGACTTAGCTCCGGATTCAAGTCGGTCCCGGGCTGGTGCACCCAGCGTGGGAATCACGTAATTCTGGAATTGAATACGTTCCAAGCTGTTGCGTCCGCCAGCTTCGCGGCGACCTAACTCTGGAGTTCAGTTTTCCGCGGGCTGGCGCTTACCCTGGGGTCGGGGCGACTTAACCCCGCAGTTCTGTTTCTGATGACCTCCCAGTTCCCGTCGCCACCCATCGTCAACGACCTCCTTTGCATCATCAACATCACCATCAACATCACCATCATCATCACCGCCGTCACCATCATCATCATCATCATCATCATCCTCATCATCGTCATCGTCATCGTTATCATCATCATCATCATCATCATCATCATCATCATCATCATCATCATCATCATCATCATCATCATCATCATCATTACAATCACCATCCGCATCATCTTCCCCATCGCCAGTATCACCACCACCACCATCAGAACGTCGTCATCGTTATTGCGAAAACCTTGCGGCCGGTGCCGCCGACCATGAAGTGGGACGACGACGACGACGACGACGACGACGACGACGACGACGACGACGACGACGACGACGACGACAACGACGACGACGACGCTGACGTGGGTCAGAGTCCTCAGGGATTCTGTTTCGGGTCTTTTCGGAGCGCTCTCGGAAGCCTCTGGGGGGCTGTCTGGGGGGGGCCCCAGGGGAGCATTTTGGAGGCCTCGAGGGAGCCCCTTGGGGGTTCCGAGGGGGCCTCTTGGAGCCTCCTGGGGGCCTCTTGGGGGCCTCTTGGGGGCCTCCTGGGGGCCGCTCGGGGCCGAAGGCTTGCGACGTCCGTTTGGTTCCCCTGTTTGGGCGCCCTCTTGGAGCCTTCTCGGGGGCCTTTCGGGCCGTTTTGCAGGCGTCTGGGGCCGTCTTCGGGCCCTTTTTGGTCCGTTTCGGGGCCCTCTTTTGAGGCCTTTTGGACCGACCGTTGGAGCCTCTTCGGCCGGTTTGGGATGTCGGGAAGTTGAGAAGGCGACAACGCCCAAATCCTTAGAATAATTGAGGGAAGCCAATGGATGTTGCCTCTTGAGGCTCTATTGGGAGTGCTTTTCGAGGCCTCTTGGGGCGTCTTCTAGCCTTGGGCCGTGTGGAGGACGTAAAGACGTCTTGTACCGATCGTTTGGCGATTCGGGGTCCTCTTGGACCGTCTTGGGGGCCTCTTTGGGCACTCTTGGCTCGTCTTGGTACTTTTTTGGGCCCCGGGCCCCCAGGGGAGGCTGCATGGCATTCTGACCCGGGACCCCCTCCCCCGGACCACCCCCCAGGACCACCCCCCCGGACCCTTCCCCCGCCCTGGCGGGGAAGGGATCAAATGGAAGGAGCTTCCCCTTCGACTCAATTACGACGTTGCTCAATTTCGCGTTGGCTGGCGCGCTTCAGAAGGAGGGCCCATGAAAAGGGGAGAGCGGCGACGGGCCCAGGGAAAGAGAGTGAGCGGCAACGGCGACGGCGACGACGACGACGACGATGACGACAGCTTCGACGAAGACGAGTCAAATGGAGCAGCCGCTTCTACATGTCGAAAGGGTCGGCGGATTATCATGCTTCTGGTCCTGATCCTCCCTCGTATGCTCCTCCTCCTTCTCCTCCTTCCCCTCCATCTGGATCATCCTTCCCCTCCTCGCGTGTGAGGAGGAATAAACCTACATTTCAGTCCATGCGTGCTCCCCCTTGTCCTCCTCCTCCTCCTCCTCCTCCTTCTCGTGGTTCTGAGTGTGCCCTCCCTCTACGTCTCCTAATCCCACTCCTTCCCCCCCTCCCCCTCCTCCTCAATCCCCCCACCGTCATGACCTGGTGGCCGCCATCTTCGATGGACAGGGCCTCGGCCTCTGTGATGCCTGGGAAGTGTGCCGCATGATAACCTCGAATGCTCGAATGCCAGCGGCCCTATGTCTATCCGACGTGGCCGAAAGGATGATCACCTCCGCCCTCGCCTGGGGCAGAAGAGGGGCAGCGACGACGACGACGGGGGGCTGCGATGGGCGATGGGAAGCAGAACGAGGGGGGAGGGGGGGGGGGGGGGGCAAAAGCTGTCAGTTCGCACGATTCCGTGAGTCGTTCGTATGACGAGGACGAGTCGTTTTTGTCATAATTACATGAGGGTGGATCGTATGGTGCGAGAGAGTTGTTCTTGCGACAGCTGTTCTTAGGACAGCGCGAGTTGTTCTTGTGCTATGTTGGGCCCCCCTGTGGCAGGGAATAGGGCCCCCTCTGTGACAGGGGATTGGACATCCCCAGTGACAGAAAATTGGGCACCCCCTGTGATAGAGAATTGGGCCCCCCCCGTGACACGGAATTGGGCCCCCTCCCCCTCCTGTGACAGGGAATGAGGCCCCCCCCTGTGACAGGGAATTGGGCACCCCCTGTGACAAGGAAATGGGCCTCCCTTTTGAACTCTCCCGTGCGATGGTTCTGGGCACCCCTGTGGCACGGTTCTGGGCACCCCCTGTGACCGGGTGTTGGGCCCCTTGTGGCACGGCTTCGGGTACCCCTCTTGCACGTTTCTGGGCACCCGTGTCACCGGGTGTTGGGCAGCCTGTGGGACGGTTTTGACCCGCCTCTGCTTCCGGACGCTCCCAGCCCAGGGAACCGCATGCGCGCAGTTTCTGCTCCCAGACGCAACCGGCCCAGACGCCCCGCCAAGAGGGAGCAACCGGAAGAGTTGAACAGATCATGCGCGCAGTCTTTGCTCCCAGAGTTCCCAGCCCAGACGCCCCCCTCGAAGGGAACACCCTGGGAATGCAAGAAAATCGTGTTCTTTTTTCGCCCTGCCTCGTGGCCCTGTTCCTGCCGGGCTGCCAGCGCAGGTGCCTTGGTTTTTCCGTTTTCCAGCGCCGTCATGCTCTTGCTTGGCCTCGGTGCCATCTTGAGAGCACCCCGTGCCAAGAGGCCCCGTGGAACAGCAAGAGATCATGCAAGCGCTCTCTGCTCCTCGACCGCTCCCGGCCCAGACGCTCCACCAGAAGGGAACAATCGGGAGATTGGAACAATCAAGACGCTTCCAGCCCAGGCGTCCCACAGGGAGGGTCGTCTGTTCTTACGATTGGGCGAGTTGTTCTTGTGATGCGAGAGGGTGGTTCGTATGATACGAGAGAGCTGTTCTCGCGACAGCTGTTCTTCAGCGCGAGTTGTTCTTGAGCTACGTTGGGACCCCCTGTGTCAGGAAATTGGACCCCCCTGCGGCAGGGAATTGAGCACCACCTGTGACAGGGAACTCGGCCCCCCCTGTGACAGGGAAATGGGCACCCCCTGTGACAGCGAATTGGGCATCCCCTGTGACAGGGGATTGGGCACCCCCTGTGGGAATTGGGCACCCCCTGTGACAGTGAATTGGGCGCCCCATGTGACAGAGAATGGGGCACCTGGGCCCCCCTTGTGACAGGGAATTTGCCCCCCCTGTGACAGGGAATTGGGCCCCCCCTTTGAAAAGGAATTGGGCACCCCCTGTGCGAGGCTTTCGCACGCGCGCAGCAGGCTATGCGCCACCACACCCGCCGTCCCTGTCAAAAACCATTTGACAGTGATCGCAGGGCGGCCGCGCCTGATCCAGATTTAGCCGCAAGGTGCATTTTGTATTGCTTCTTGTCAGGGATGGTAGCCCTGCGAACAGCAAGCAATATGCTGACAACCCCGCCGTCCCTGTCAAAAAAGCAATACAAAGTGCTCGCGGGCCTCACGGACATGACTCCAGACCTTGCCCTTAGAGTGTCGGAGGTTGGGGGGTGAGACCGACGTGAAATGGAGACCCCCCCCTACCAGGAAACGATTTCGGTTTCGGGTTCGTGTCGTGCGTGCCGTGCGTGCGTGCGGGCGAGGCGAAGCTGCGTGGGCGGGCGAGAGGAAATCCTCCTGTGGCTGGGCCGCGGCCGGACCAAATTTTTCTCCTCCGGCGGCCGGTGGCCCGCGGTGTCCCGCCAGTGTCCCGCTGGTGTCCCGAAATCCTCCTGTGGCTGGGCCGCGGCCGGACCAAGTGTTTCTCCTCCGGCGGCCGGTGGCCCGCGGTGTCCCGCCGGTGTCCCGCTGGTGTCCCGAAATCCTCCTGTGGCTGGGCCGCGGACGGACCAAATGATTCTCCTATGGCACAAGCACACTACTCACGCTCACGTGCACAATCACACTACAGGCATCGTCAGAACAACAATCACCACTTTTGCCCATTGCTGCCCCTTTCCAACCTCCTTGTTACCCGTAGGGTGGTCGTACAGGTATTTGATATTAATTGTTGACAGGGATGGTGGGGAATGCCGCCGTGTTGGTTGCGCATGCTCCGAATTTTGAGGCAGAGTGTGTTTCGCATTATTGGGTGTGATCATGGTGTTCTCATTGTTCCCGGTGGGCTGCCGGTTGCCTGGGGGAGGGGATGTATATTCACAGGGAGCAGTGATAATCCTTTCCCCGCGAAGGGGAAGAGGGAAGATGGACGAGAAAACACGCTAAACCACCAACGCCCAGAACGCTGCTGGGACTACGAAGTTGTAGGCGTTCCTTTCAAACATGTGGCTCTCGTCCGAATAGTAGGCTTACGGGGCGCTTGTCATTCACGGGATGCTCCACGCAGTGATAGTTAACATGTAATTTTGGCGTCAGAACGGGACTTGTGACGGAGGGTATTCTGTCGCATCGTCGATTCATTTGGGTTTTGTTCAGGTCACCTGGTCCTTCCTCCGACCTTTCCCCGGACATCCGACGTCGTAATTGTTGTAACGTCGCTTCCCAGAGGTCTGGACCCTATCCCCGGATCCTGCTTTGCAGCCCGAGTCTTTCTTTGGCGGCCACATGGTTCGATACAGTCCCCAAAGTCCAAAGATGGCCAAAGTCACGACGCGAGCATCCGCCGACGCCGACGGCGGCGGCGACGGTCACGACGACTAGAAAGAGAGAGATAGATTGAGAGAGAGAGAGAGAGATGATTACCTGGTCTTATTCCTCCTCCTTCTCCCTCCTCCACCCGTCTCCATCCTCCCCTTTGCTCCAACGACGGCGGCTGGTGGCGGCGACAGTCACGACGACGACGACGACGACGACGACGACGACGACGACGACGACGGAACGCTGCCCCGAGAGGTGGCAGCGCGGTGCTCGCCGCCCCGGGCTGGCAGGGAGTAGCGGCGCGCGGGCTCCTGGCGGCGCGCCGGCGAGGTTCTGCGCGGCCTCCCCCGCCTCCTGCAGCAACCAAACCACCCCAACCGAACCCGAAGGCTTAGATTTATCCTCGATTTCCAGTGGGGGGGGTCGGGAAACATGGAGAAAACACGTGTGGAACCCTGACCCCCCCCAACCCGAAGTTCGGGTCTTCGGGTTGGGTTGGGGTGGTCTGGTAGCTAGTCACCGCCTCCTTCCGCAGGCACTGGTGGGGGATCGCCCGGTGCCAGACCATCCAGCTGGGGGCAAGATTCCTATCCACATCCAGTGCGTCTTGGACTCTCTTGGAAGGGGCGCCACATGGCCGAGGAGCCCGGGATGTGGATAGAAATAGAGCCTCTAGGGGCCAGATTTGTATCCACATCCAAACTTCAAGCGGCAGGGGGGCCCGAAACTTCGAGCGGCAGTGGGGGCCCGAAACTTCAAGCGGCAGTGGGGGGCTCGTGTTTCTAGGCAGGGGGGCCCGAAACTTCAAGCGGCAGTGGATCTGGACACGAGTCTTGCCGGCGCCCGAGTGCGCCCCGAGCCTTGCCCTGGAGCTCCTGCCCTCTCTCCCCCCTCCCCCCGCAGCCCGCGCGTGGCCGGGGCCTGCCTCCCGCGGCAGGTTTCCTGTGGCAGAGCGGCCCGGCGGCCATAGGCGCCGGCGCCTTGCCCACGATAATCGGGCCGGACGAAAGGGGGGGATAGGGAAAGGGGGGGATTACGAGATCTGCGGCGTGCAGCTGGCTTCGGCCCCGCCGCCGGGCCCATTCCTCGCTACATGGGCGCCTCCTGGCGCCGGGAGGCGCCGGGAAAATCAGCTACGTGGAGGAGGAGGAGGAGGAGGAGGAGGAGGAGGAGCTGCTGATTCTCAAACCCCCTTTTGCTATCCCCCCGTTCGCCAGGCCCGAGATAAGTGTCAGCAGATGTGGCGCCGGCTTTCGTCTCCGGCAGTGCCAAGGATCGGAGGCCCCCAAACGGGGTGGTGACCACATTGTGCGGTGAGGCGGTGGGGATTCGGGGTCACCGCACGGTTTTGGGACTCGGGTCGTTTGCCGAGGGCGTCTCGGGCGCTGGGGGCATCCGAGGTCACAAAAGACCGTGCGGTGACGGACCGTGCGGTGAGGTCTTGGGGGGATTTCGAGGTCACCGCACGGTCTGTCGCCGCACCGTTTCGGGACTCCAAGAAGGAGGACAGGAGGGTCACCACCTCCTCTTGGAGATCGAGGGTCGAAAAGGAGGGCGGGTCGAGGATCGAGGAGGAGTCGGACGCCTCTGGGCGTCCTCGGGGGTCCTCGGGGGCCCCGGGGGGCCCGAGGATGTGGCGGCCCCACGGACTCCGCAGAGCGCCCCGCGGCTCCCGGAGACGCCCCGAGTCGTCCCAGCACCCAATCGATTCCTTCTCGGTCTTCGATTGCCAGGATCGGGGGAGCGTAAGACCCGGGTTTGCCAGGACTCGGGTTCGCCATCGTTTTTTGACGACCGCGACTCGGATTTTGACGAGGAGGAGTTTTGTGGGATGTCTGCAGCGAGAGGCCTCGTCAAAATGCAGGCTCGGCCTCGTCATTTTTTTGACGACCTCGTCGGGGATTTCCGAGTCCCCCGTACCCGGGTCTTACGTCTCCCCGACAGGAGGATGTGGCGACACCTCTCAGTGCGGACCCCCCCCCCCTTGGCACCGCCTGGCTCTTCTACCCCTTGGCCGACGCGCGCAGGCTGCGCCGCCACGGGCGCCACCGCTCCGCTCTGCAGGAGAGCATCTCTTGCGCACCACCACCCGGGCCCACTCCGAATTCGATCGACATGCGGTTCGATACAGCGGGGGCCCATGCCAAGAGACACCCTGCTTGCCTCCAGGGTGCCCTGGGTTTCGTGAGTTTCGGTAGTCTTGCTGTGGAAGGCGTGACTTTCCCACGCCCGAAATCGATGGACATCCTTGAGTCTCCGGGTTGGGCTTCTTGTGGAAGTCTTCTTGTGGTCGGGCTCCTACTGTATCGCGTTCGCTGGGGCTGGATCGGCGTGGAGCGAACGGGTCCTGACCGAAGCAGGTCCTGAGGCCCTTCGCTGGTTTCTGCTTCCCGGGGCCCTCCCTGGGCCCCGGGACCGTCAAAAAATCAGTCGGGAGAAAGAGCTGATCCAGGGGGAAAGTCGTGGGGCGCAGGACCGGATTCCCTCGAGACCCGTTTGCTTCATGGCAGCGTTCCGATTCGACTGGTCCATTTCGATTCCGAGTTCGCGGGGCTCGATCTGATTTGCTTTCGCGATCTTATTGCTATCCGATGCGGCCCGAGGATTGCACGGGCGTTGTGCATCTTGGCGCGCAGGAGGTCCGAATCGATCTGGGCTCCGTGCCGATTGCAGCCCGATCCGACGCATGGATCCGACCCCATCCGATTTCCCGGTGCGGTGCTGACCCGGTCCTGCCGTGCCTGACCAGGGCCATCTCGGGTGTCTAAGCCTTCCTGGGCCCCGGCAGCGAGGGCGTTCAGGGGCAACGTTGGGGGGGGGGGGGCGGTAGGCTCAGGGGGGGGATGCATTGACCCACGATCGCCCATTGATCGCCGATAGAGGCCCGATAGCCCAGCCCCTCGAGAACCGTGCGGAGTCGCCATCGGCGGCCTCTCGCTGATCTTTCGGCGATGCATCGCCGATTCCGGCTTGATGTTTTTCTCCCCGGGCTGTTCCCCCCCCTGTCGTTCCACCCCAGGCGCAGGCAATCGGCGAGTATGATTGGACGCAGCGGTAGGGATTTAGATTCGCAGCAGAGCAGCCCGCTCCGCGTGGCGACGCCCGTCTGCACGCGGGTGTCTGCGCGACGGCGCACGTCGGCATGCAGAGCGGTTGCATGACGGCGGCGGGCGTCGGCACGCAGAGGTTGCTAACGACAAGCCTCTCAAACGCCGAATCGTATTCGCCGACGGCGTATACGCACAGTGTCTGGGCCCAGGGCGGCCTTGGCCAGGCATGGTGGTGGTGCGCAGGTGCCTTCTGCGTCCTCCTCCACTCGAGCGCAGCACCCGCGGCGAAAACGCAGTCGTCGTCGTCGTCGTCGTCGTCGCCGTCGTCGTCGTGCTATTTTTCGTCGTCGTCGCCGTAGTCCACGTATCCCTTGTCTTTCCTCCATGCCCATCTCCCTCGTCCTCCGCGTCCTCGCCCACTGGGCAGGGGGGGCGGAAGGAGGAGGAGGAGGAGGAGGACGAGGAGGGTTGGGAATAAGACGGCGGAGGACTCGTTGGAGGAGGGGTATGAAGAGAGGATGGTGAGGGGGAGGAGGAGGAGATCCATTGCCCCTCAGTTCTGAAGTAGTTGTATAGGAGGGGGTACAGAGGATAGGGCGTTTATACAGTTTGGAGGAATTAAGCAATTCATTGTGGGTCGAGCTTGACGCGCCTCGAAGAAAGCGCGCGCACCCGAATCGCAAACATATGGCTATATGCGGACCCGGGAAAGTTTGCTTCCCGTCGTCGTCCTCGCTGTCGCTCCGTTCCCCTTCCTTTCTTCCCCCCCTTGGATGGTGTCGAAAGCGTCCGCGGCTCGGGCGGGGGAGCGCCCCTTTCCACCTCCCCCATTATTCCTCGTTCATGTTTGCCTCCCTGCTCCACCGTCCGTCGTCCTACCTCGTCTGGCCTCCTTGTTCGAAAAGTGAAGTCCGTGGTGCCGCGTGCCCGCATCAGCGGTATATCTCCTTCTCGATATCCGAGCACAGCGGCGCAACCAAACAGAGGGGATTGCCAATGCCAGCGTCCGGGGCGCACTCCAAACGCGGGCGGCACGGCCGCTGAGTGCAGTCGCGTCGCTAACATGTAAATGTATAGGTGCCTGCGGCAAGGTCCGCCCCCTTTGCCAGCGCAGCGGTCTGTATGGCGACGCATGGAGCTTTGACTGTTAGGAGGTCCATGACATGTGACACTTCTCGTGTTTTGGGATTGCTGTACGGCCTTCTTTGGGGTCCTTCGAGGCTTTTTGGGTCGTTTTCGGGCCGTCGGGGGCCGCATTGGTGCCGCGTTTCACCGTGGCCGCTTGGGGCCATGGAAGCGCGTATTTGCAGCTCCTTCGAGGGCGCCGTGGGCCGGGGAAGTGTGCATTTATTTCCCCCCTAGCTGGGCATGTCGACCTCGGTTCTGGGTTGGCAAAGTCGGGGCGCCTTCGAGGTGGCGAGCGTTTACCCATTGAAATACACAGATTCAGGTGTGATTTGTGTACACAGCTTGTGTCTTCAACTGTGTATTTTCGTGCGTGGGCCCACTGTCTACACAGATCGTGGTGTGATCTGTGTACACAGATCTTGTTCCCATCTGTGTATTTGGAGTGTGCCCCTCGCGGGTGGTTTCGGTTGGGCGGGAACTTTCACGTTTCTCCTTCGGCTGGTCCAGGAGGGGGCGTCGTGCGCGGTCGAAATACACAGCTCGTGTCTCTAACTGTGCATGTGTTGCGCGCCGCTCGCTGGAGTGGTCACTGGGCGGGAGCTTCCCCGGGTCGCCTGGGTGGTCCAGCAGGGGGCCGTGGTCTGAGAGTGCAAAGGTGCGGGGGGGGGGGATGGTGGGCTGTGAGAATGAAGAGGTTCGATCGGAGGGGTGGCCAAGGGCCGGGGATGAACGGGACTGGACGTGACGGGAAGAAGTGGGCCCAGGAGGAGCTGCATCATCGGTGTCAGCATCAAGAGGACGAGGCAGGCGGGGGGCGCAGAAGGAGGGGACATGATCTGTATTAGGGTGTAGAGGATGGGAGGAGGGCAAGCACGTGGGCGATGGGGAAATTCATCCGGCGGAGGAGAACGACGAGGAACGGCATGAATTGACACATGGGGGGGTGGCAGTGTGGACGAGGGGCCTGATGAGGACTGGGGGTAGTCGGAGGGGCATGAGGAGGGTGGGGCCGCAGCGAAGGGATATTGGGAGGAGGCGGGGGATGGGGCATGAGTTTGAGGCGGGCGCCAGCTAACGCTTAGCTGAACAGTGTTTTGCGTGTCCGTGCGCCCCCCAGAACACAGCGACCGGTTGCAGAACTTCATGATATGGGTAATCGTGCGCCTCGTGCTTCCAAGCCGAAATCTCGAGTCCACGACGCCCCTTGGCGTCGCGTTGATGCCGCCCCGATTTGCCAGGCCGCATATGCACAGATCATCATCATATGTGTTTCAACGGTTGTTTCATGACTCTTTCTGTAGTAACAGACCCACGCTGGAATTCACGGGGGGAGGAGGAGGAGGAGGAGGAGGAGGAGGAAGAGGACGAGGAGGAGGAGGAGGAGGAGAAGGAGGACGAGGAGGAGAAGAAGGGGGATATGGAGGAAAACTCGGAGGAGGGGGCGAGCAGGAGGAGGGGGAGGAGGGAGGGGGGCTTGAGGAGAAGAGGGGTAACGGGGGAGGCGACTTGGAAGACGACAGAGGGAGGCAGAGTAGGAGTGGGGGTGGAGGAAGGGACGGCAAGGATGATGACGAGGTCGGGCGACAAGGAGGACAGGGGATGAAACGGTGGGGGAGGTGGACGGGTAGGAGGTTGAGCAGTGGGAAATGATGGGAGGAAGAGGATAGGGAGTGGACGCGGAGGAGGGAGGAGGATGAGGCAGGGGGAGAAGAGGTCGAGGCTGGGTTTTCCGAGCCGCGTTATGTGCAAAGGATGATGCGCGCGGGGCGCGCCATGTTCGCGCGGGCGCTTGCGAAATCAAATGTTGCACATCTTCATTGTAGATTTCGTGCAGATTTCAACCCACCGCCCACGAGCATTCAGCACGAACAACTCTCGGCACCTTTTCCTACAAGGGACAGAAGGAGTCTGCGCACTCCGGCATCCATCTAGGATTGAATCGGGCATGTCTCTCTACAGGAGGGATGTTCAGAAATGGAGTAATAGTCTGGGGACGATTGCCGATTTTGGGGAGGGGCTACTTTTGCAATTGTTTTGGGGTACTTTCTAATGGTCGCCCAAAGCCCGCCTGTAGGAGGACATGCCCGACCCAAATCTAGGATCCGATCCGGGGCGCATTCTCTCAGAGCCGGCACCCGCGAAGTGCACGTTCTCAATGGCTGCCGGCAGCGGCAGGGGCCAGCCAGAGCCAGGCGCGGCGGTCCGATGTCGTTCGATGTGGCTCGCTACGATTTCGCTGGCGGACCCCTTTATCAGGAGGAGAAAAAGCACACAGACACGATTGATCGTCGATTTCCAAGAAATGATGGGAAAATATGGGAAGTGGGGGGAAGACAAAAACCCAGAAAATATTGGAAAAATATTGGGAATCCTGTTATTTGTGTCTATTCACTAGTGTGTCCCAGGGCCCCATTCACCCCATCCGTGGTCTCGCGGATCGATCTTGTTCGTGCCTTGGGAGAGTAGAGGGATCCGAGAGACTTGCCTGCACACCCTGACGCTCGGGAGAACCATATTGGTTGACATGTTGTGTCGCCCCGCGGGACGACCCATTGCCGCAGCGGCAACGCCGCTCCGCGCAGCCCATGCGCGAGGGCGTCCGTGCTCGAGGACCCGTCTCCTCCTTCGCAGCAGGAGGGGATCCAAAAGCTGTGGGGCCACGGTGCAGGCAGCCCCGTGGGCACCACTTGCCCATGCCGGGCCAGGTGACATGTTCTTCCCCGACCCTCTTGTGTTGGGTTCCTTTTGAATAGAGCACTGTCTGCTCCGTTCCTCCTTTCCTCCTTCCTCCTCCTCCTCCCTCCTCTTCCCCCCACTCCTCCTCCTCTTCCCCCTCCTCCCCCTCCTCGTCCCCCTCCTCCTCTCCTTCTCCTCCCCCTCCTCCTCCTCCTCATCATCATCAGCAGCAGCATAATCATCATCAGCAGCATAATCAGCATCATTCACCTTACCATCATCAGCATAATCAGCAACAGCATCATCATTATCATCATCATCGTCATCAGCATCAGCATCAGCATCATCATCATCATCATCATCATCATCATCATCATCATCATCATCGTCATCGTCATCATCACCATTCAAATCAACCACACCATCATCATCATCATCATCATCATCATCATCATCAGCAGCAGCAGCAGCAGCATAAGCATCCTTCTCCTCATCCTCCCTCATCCGTCTCCTCCTCCTCCTTCGTCCTGCCTTCTCCCTTCTATCCTTGGCTGCGGGTGCGAGTGGCTGCAGTTGCCAGTCGAGATCTCGTGGGTCACGGGGTGGCTGGGAAGTGCGCAACGCAATTGTCGCCAATGTCGTGGGCTCCTGGGAGGTCCAGCAGAGTGGAGGTGTAAACAGACCCAGCCGAGACCTCGCGGGACCCTTGTTGGTTGCGAAGTGCGAATTTGTCACCGTCACCAAGTTTGTGGGTTCTAGGGAGGTCGAGCGGAGTGGAGTTCTAACCAAACCCAGCCGAGCTTTCGCGGGACTTTCAAAGGTTGCGAAGTGCGCAACCGTCGCCAGTGTCGTGGGTCCTTCGGAGGTCCAGCGGAGTGGAGTTGTAAACAGACCCAGCCGAGGCCTCGCGGGGCTTTCGGGGGCTGCAAAGTACGCAATTGTCACCACGTTCGCGGGCTCTTGGGAGGTCCAGCATAATAGAGTTGTAAACCGACCCAGCCGAGACCTCGCGTGGCATTGAGGGTTGCGAAGTGCGCCATTGTCGCCAATGTCGTGGGCTCCTGAGAGGGCCAGCGGGGTGGATGCGTAGCCAGACCCAGCCGAGACCTTGCGGGACCCTCGTGGGTTGCGACGTGTGCATTTGTCGCCAAGTTCGTTGGTTCTTGGGGGTCCAGCGGAGCTGGGTTGTCATCAGGCGCAGTCGATAATTCGCGGGTCACTGAAGGGGGGGTGCGAAGTGCGCATGTGTCGCTAATGTCGTTGGCTCCTGGGGGGTCCAGCGGAGCGCAGTTGTAGAGAGAGCCAGCCGAGACCTCGCTGGTCATCTGGGGGTTGCGAAGTGCGCAGTTGTCGCCACTTTCGTGGGCGAATGGGAGGTCCATTGGAGTGGAGTTGTAAACAGACCCAGCCGAGACCTCGTGGGGCCTTGGGGGTTGCGAAGTGCGCAACCGACGCCAGTGTCGCGGGCTCTTGAGAGGTACAGCGGAGTGGAGCTGTATCCAGACCCAGCCGAGACCTCGCGGGACCCTCGGGGGTTGCGAATTGCGCAATTGTCGCCAATGTCGTTGGCCCGTGGGAAGGCCAGCAGAGAATAGTTGTAGACAGACCCAGCCGAGACCTCGCGGGATCTTGGGGCGTTGCAACGTGCGCAAGTGTGAGGCCCAGCGGAGTGAAGGTGTAAACAGATCCAGCCGAGACTTCGCGGGACCTTGAGTTGTCACGTGTGCAATTGTCGCCACGTTCGTGTGCGATCGGGAGGTCCAGCGGAGCGGAGTTGTAAACGGACCCAGCCGAGACCTCGCGGGTCCCTCGGGGGTTGCGAAGTGCGCAATTGATGTCAATTTCGTGGGCTCCTGGGAGGTCCAGCGGAGTGGAGTTGCAAGCAGACCCAGCCGAGACTTCGTGGGACCCTCGAGGGTTGCGAAGAATCCAATTGTCGCCAATGTTGTGCGCTCCTGGGGGGTCGCCAATTTCCTGGTTTCCTAGGAGGTCCAGCGGAGTGAAGTTGTACACAGTCCCTGCCGAGACCTCGCGGGACCTTGGGGAGTTGTGAAGTGCGCAATCGTTGCAAGTTTCGTGGTCGTTTGGGACGTCCAGCGGAGTGGAGTTGTAAACAGACCCAGCCGAGACTTCGCGGGTGCGGGGTGGAGTTGTACACGGACCCAGCCGCGAAGTGCACAATGGACGCACCTTGCGTGGGCTCTTGGGAGGTCCAGCGGGCGTGGAGTTGTAAGCAGACCCAGTCGAGACCTCGCGGGACCCTGGGGGGGGGGTGCGAAGTGCACAATTGCTGTCAATTTCGTGGGTTCGTAGGACGTCCATCGGAGTAGAGGTGTAAGCAGACCCAGCCGAGACCTCGCGGGTCATTGAGGTGTTGCGAAGTGCGCAATTGTCGCCGCGTTCGTGGGCTTCTGGCAGTCCCAGTCGAGACTTTGCGTGTCAGTTGGGGGTTGCGAAATGCGCAAGTGTCGCCAATGTCGTGGGCTCATGTGAGGTTCCGCGGAGTGGAGTTGTAAACAGACCCAGTCGGGACCTCGCGGGTCATTGAGGGGGGTTGCGAAGTGCGCAATTGACGCCTATTTCGTGGGCTCCTGGGGGGTCCAGCGGAGTGGAGTTGTAAACAGACCCAGCCGAGACCTCGCGGGACCTTGGGGGGCTGCGAAGTGCGCGATTGCCTTCAAGCGTGTGTTCTCTTGGGAGGCCGAGCGGCGTGGAATTGTAAACAGATCCAGCCGAGACCTCGCAGGACCTTGGGTGGCTGCGGGACGTGCAGTTGTCGCCAAGTTCGTGGGCTCCTGGGGGGCCCAGCGGAGTGGAGTTGTAAATAGACCCAGCCGGGACCTCGCGGGACCTTAGGGGGTTGCGAAGCGCGCAATTTTCGCCAGTTTCGTGGGTTCCTAGGACGTTCAGCGGAGAGGAGTTGTGAACAGTACCCGTCGAAACCTCTCGGCACCTTGGGGGGGCTGCGAAGTGCACAATTGTTTCCAGCCGAGACCTCGCGTGACACTGAGTTTACGAAACGCGCAATTGTCACTACGTTCGTGAGCGACTGGCAGGTCCATTGTAGTGGAGTTGTAAACAGACCCAGCCGAGACCTCGCGGGTCATTGGGGTGTTGCGAAGTGTGCAATTGTCGCCAGTTGCGTGGGCTTCTGGGAGGTCCAGCGGAGCGGAGTTGTAAACAGTCCCAGTCGAGATTTCGCGTGTCATTGGCTGCGAAGTGCGCAACTGTTGCCAATGTCGTGGGCTCTTGGGAGGTTCCGCGGAGTGGAGTTGTAAACAGACCCAGCCGGGACCTCGCGGGTCAGTGGGGGTTGCGAAGTGCGCAGTCGTCGCCAATTTCGTTGGCTCTTGGGAGGTTCTTCGGAATGGAGTTGTAAACAGACCCAGCCGGGACCTCGCGGGTCATTGGGTGGGTGCGAAGTGCGCAATTGTCGCTAATTTCGCTGGCTCTTGGGAGGTTCCGCGGAGTGGAGTTGTGAACAGACCCAGCCGGGACCTCGCGGGTCATTGAGGAAGGCTGCGAAGTGCACAGTTGTCGCCGGTTTCGTGGGCGACTGGGAGGCCCAGCGGAGTGGAGTTGTAAAAACACCCAGCCGAGACCTCGCGGCTCCCTGCGTGGCTCCGAAGTGCGCAATTGTCGCCAATTTCGTGGCTTCCTGGGAGGTCCAGCGGGGTGGAGTGGTACGCAGATCCAGTTGGGACCTCGCGACCCCTTGCGTGGCTGCGGATGCGCCACGGTCGCCACTTTTGTGGGCTGCTGGGAGGTCCAGCGGGGTGGAGCGGTACGCAGACCCAGTTGGGACCTCGCGGCTCCTTGCGTGGCTGCGAGGTGCGCAACTGTTGCAAGCTTCGCGGGCTCCTGGGAGGTCGCGCGGAGTGGAGTTGTACGGGGGTCCAGTTGGAGCTTCGCGGCTCCCTGGGGGGGGCTGCGAAGTGCACAACTGTCGCCATTTTCGCGAGGTCTTGGGAGGTCGCGCGGAGTAGAGTTATACGGGGATCCAGTTGAGACCTCGCGGCTCCTTGGAGGGCTGCGATGTGCACAATTGTCGCCTCGTTCGTGGTTTCCTGGGAGGTCGCGCAGAGTGGAGTTTTACGGGGATGCAGTTGGGACCTCGCGGCTCCCTGCGTGGCTCCGAAGTGCGCAATTGTCGCCAATTTCGTGGCTTCCTGGGAGGTCCAGCGGAGTGGAGTTGTACGGGGATTCAGTTGGGACCATGCTGGCCCGCCATGCCACCCCGCGCATGGAGCGCTCGGCGCTGTTGCTGTTACTGAGCATGGATGCCCCTCCTTCACACCCCTCTGCATGCTTCTGTCTACGTTTCCATCTTGCTTCTTCCTGCACGTGTTCTTGCGAACTTCTCGGAGCTCATGCGAACTGCAGGCCCTTTAGCATGTTTGTTTGTACTGAGCGGTCCTGTGTATAGTCGCCTCATGTGTGCAAAGGGTTGGGTACGTCCCCGGGTACTCCAAATCTCATGATAAAGGGGAGGGGGTCAAAAAAGTGTTTGACAGCCCGAAGTAGACCCCCCCCCAGACAGGCAGCAAAGGGTCCAAAACCGAGACACCCCCACAATCGTGTTTGACGAAGCCCGTTAGACCACCCCCCCAAAAGCAGAACCCCCCCCATTGTTATCAGGAGGGGAAAAAACACACAGACACAATTAATCGGCGATTCCCAGAAAATATAGGAAAATATGGGCAGTGGGGGGGAAGACAAAAACCCAGAACCTATGAAAAAATATGGGGAATCTTTTTATGTGTGTGTACTTCTTTGTGTGTCCCAGTTCCCCTTGATGTTGTGCGATCCGGCGTACCCGCTGTTTCCTCTCGGGGAGCCACGGCCTCGGCGACGGGAGGGCGCTCGTCGCGGGAGCGCCCGCGACACCCCCTTTGGTGGCCAGATCCGCCCCGAGGTGGTGGCCGAAGTGCGCTTCTTTGAGTCCACGGGCGTCGCTTCCCGGGGAGGAAGTCAGGGCTCGTTTCGATTCCTCCGATTCGATTCGATTCGACTTCGATGGATTCCGATTCCGATTCGATTCGACCTGGGATTCCGATTTGGATTCCGATTTCTTATTGGAGGCATACTAGCCTGCCGATTTCCGCCGATTCGACTTTTCCCGATTCGGCTGCCGATTTCCGCCGATCCGATTCATGTCGATTGCCGATCCGATTTATCGATTCGATTCTGGGCTCTCCTGGGAAGTCCTTCACCTTCGCTCCACTTCTGATGATTTCGGGCCCGGACAGACCTCCCACCCAGACAAGTCGATTGAGGAATTGTCCTGGGACCTTGATTTATTTTTTTCAAATTTGCAGGGGTTCGCACCGTCGCGCCTCGTGTGCGTTGGCGTCGTACTGGTTGCAGCGGTCGTCGAGGCGTCGCGCGCAAACACGCAATAAATCAAATTCAAAACATGGGCGTTGCAGTTGCTAGGACATCTCTTGCTAGGACCACCCGGTTTGGGGGTTCCCAAGGGAACCCCCAAACCGGGTGGTGAGATACCAGGTGGCGATCTGGAATCCCCAAAAAGGTCACCGCTGGGTTTGGGGACACGAGGTCACCACCGGGTTCTGTGACTCCTGGACCCACCAGTGTCCGGGACATCCTCGGAAAACCGCACGAGTCCCCAAACCGATTTGGTGACACCAAATAATCGCCCGAGACTCTCCGCCAGGTGTTGTCACCACCGCGTTTGGGGACTACCAAGATGACGTGGGGCTCCCGGAAGGGGCCCCAGAGGCCGCATGGGAAACTGGAGCGCCGCGAATGCAAGGACCAGCCCGGCCCGCTGGAGGCCTGGGTCTGACCAGGGAAGCCGCCGCCGACCTTCCCGTCGGCCTCGCCGTCGGCCGTCGCCGGTGCCGCCGCCGCCGCCGCAGCCGCCGACCCCGCCGCCGACCGCGCGGGTGCCCTCTGCCGCCGCCGCCGCCGCCGAGGTCGACGCCGGCCGCGCCCGCGGCCTCGCCCGCGGCCTCGCCCGCGGCCTCGCCTGCGGCCTCGCCGCGGGCCTCCGCCCCGCCCGGCGCCCCGCAGGAGTTCCACCTGCGCCCCAGGGGCCCCTCGCTGGAAGAGGCGCGGCTGCCGGCCCCATCGGCCGCGGCGAGCGCGCGGCGATGCATCCGAGGGGGCGGCCTGAGAGGAGGGTCCAAGGGGGGGGGGGGCAGTCAAGCACGCCCGTCGTGGGTCGTCGTGGGCGTCCAAACGGGAGGCCAGGACCAGGGGGGGGTGAACGCTGGGGCCATGTCCTCCTCCTCCTCCTCCTCCTCCTCCTCCTCCTCCTCCTCCTCCTCCTCCTCCTCCTCCTCCTCCTCCTCCTCCTCCTGTTTCCCGACTTCACGACCCCTTTTTGTGCTCTTTTCACAGATCCCCTGGCCCCACCCCCGCGTCAGCGTGCACGCCTCGGGCCATGATGCGCATCCCGTGATTCCTGGCCCCCTCTTCGGCGCACCCGAGAGCCGTCGTGGCGTCCGCAGAGGTTCGTGCCCCCGCCTCCTCCCTCGCGAGGCGCTCGCGCGCGTCGTGCGCTGGTTCGAGAACTTCCTGATGATGCCCGTTCGGCGCGTGCAGGCAGCGGCGGCGACCGCCTCCGATGTCGCCGTGAAGCAGCCGGTTCCTGAAGGAACGGGGCCCGTGTTTTTTTCATAACTTTCGGTAATGACCCCTGAGCCTTCCACGGACCCCGGGACCGTCAGCAAGAAGATGCAGGATGAAGAATTGATCTTGGTGTGCAGTCTCGGGGTCAATGAACGGTTTCTGTCAGGATTCGCTTGCTTCATGGAAACACTGGAACGACCGGTGGGGGCCAGGGACACGCAGCGATACTGATTTGGACCCGCGCCAAAGCAGCGCGCCATGCGTGCCGTCGCCCGTCGGCACGCAGAGGGTGTGCCTGACGGCTGCGGGTGGCGGCATTCAGAGGCTGCGGACGACAAGTGGTCAAGAATCAAGTCTTTTTCGTGTTCGCCGATCTTCTCTTGTATCCGAGAAGGGTTCGATGCTGACTCGACGTGCATCCGACGCTGACTCGGCATGGATCCGACGATTCCCAGGAGAGGAAAATACACAGACCAAATTAATTGCCGATCCCCCAGAAAATGTGGGAAAATGTGGGAAGTGGGCGGGAAGACGAAGCTCCAACAAATATTGGAACGTATGGGGAATCCTGGGAGTTGTGCGTATTTATCTGAGTGTCCCCGGGCACCTTCCAATGCAGTCCCAGCCATGAAGTGGCGCAGGCACCCTTCTGGCCGTCGACGCCGGCAAGGAGCGCGGGCGGCCCCCCCCCGCTCCTTGCCGCCCCTGTCAGGCATCAACCACAGAGCCTTCGCCATCGGCCTCGCCGCCGCCGCCGAGGTCACCCGCCGCGGTCGCCGCCGCCGCCGCGGCCTCCTCCGCCTGCGCGGCGGGCGGCGGCGGCGGCGGCCGCGGGACCTCGTCGCCGTCGCTGGCCGCAGGAGCGGCACTGTTCGGCGTGCCGCGGCGCCCTTCGGCGCGACGAGCTAAGCACGCTTCGGTTCCGCAGGCATCACCTCCGGATCACCCCGAGGAGCGCGAAGATAATCTCGGCGTCACCCCAACATACACCTTAGGCGATGCTTGAGAAAACTTGAGTTTTCGGCCAGAGTCTCGATTATTCTTAACGTTTCAATGTAATTCCTAAGATTTTAATGGAAATGGTGGGTTGTTATCCAAGTTCTGAGACTATGAATTTCTTAACCCATGATTTCTTAAGCATTTCGCAGGGTGTACTAATACTACATGTGCGTCGCCCTCCCTCGGGCGACGAGCGCACCGAGGAATCGGATCATCGTCTGATATCCGTGGCGGGCGCTTCCTGGCTGTACCGCTCGGGTAACGATACACTGCAAGATGGGTCTACTGTATGTTCGGGTCGGACGCGCGCGTATGTCCCTATGTGCACCATATTTGCGCTTCGCGCCTCGCGGCCTGGGCCAGAGCGCTGCCCTTGTCAGCGCGAGGGCACGCCGCGCATCGCGGGGCGCGGGGCGCGAAGTGAGGCGACTCGGGTCAGCCTTCCGAGCGGTTCCCGGCTGCACGCCCCACGGCGCAGAGCGGCGCGCTGCCAGCTCGCAAAGCATTCTGTGCGTCGCGGGGAAGTATCCTCTCGATAATTATTTCAACGGATCGAGCACCATTCGCTTGTGCAAGGAGCGCGGCTGTCTCCCCAATTAGAGCTTTGCGTAGCCCGCCTAGCTTTCGACCGGAAGAGGTTCGCTCTCGACCCGCAGACCAAAAACAGAGCAAGGAGCGCGGCCCATACATGGAGTGATGGGCCAGGCCAGGGTAGTCAGCTAGATTGCATTGTCAAGAATGCAGCTAACCAAGCTCGGGAGATTTCAACGTGCGGCGCTCCAACCGAACCGACAATTTCCACGGTTGCATGCATGTCGGAGGTTACGAGTTTTTGACGATAAACCCTCACAGCACACTAACACAAGACATCACATTCATATGTACACACCTGTGGGAAACATCTCATGCCAGCCCGGCCGACCGGCTGAAGATTTGGCTCTGTGTTGAAGTCTCCTTTGGAATAGCTGGACGGTGCGACTATTCACGATGTAGTCTGGTAGCCAGTTGAACGCTCGAATCACACCAAAGATAGACCGTCGCAGGATAGCGGGGTGGCCCGACTCGATAGGGTCAAACAGTGCCTTTGCGTGGAATGTCTGGGCAGGAGCGAAGCTTACCAGCCTGGAACAGATCCCTATCCCTATGATGGGCACCTCCTCATCACGATGCCAAGCTTAGGGATTCCTTTTTTTTTGAGGGCGAATCCCTAAGATGGTCACCGCCTTTTGGCGTGTCAATCTTAGGGATAGGGATACGCTCGAGGCTGGTAAGAAGCCAAGTGATTCGAGATTGCCCACGGCTGGACGGAACAGCGCTGCAAGAGCACAAGGCGCCAAGCCTGAGGCAGCCTTGTACGGCAGTCGCAGAGCGGCGATGCCCCCACGCATACCAAGCGGAGCAAGACTATGCTCTCGCAGAGCTGCCTCTGCCGAGAAGCCGACCTCGTCCAGAAAGCAAGACTGCAAGTCGTCGAACTGCTTCAAATCTATTCTTCGTGGCGCGGCAGACGCTTGGGGAGGCGCCCTCCAGGTAGGACAAGACGTGGCACTTGCACAATCTCACCATCTCTTTCACACCATGGTGGTCACGCTTTGTCCGGAGAAGAGCCCGGAGGCGCCAGCCGGCTTCCGTGGCGAAGTGTTGCACGGCCAGATGCATCTCCAAGCGTGGGTCGAAGATAACGCTGAGAATTTTGGATGAACCGCCATGTGGGCTACATCTGTCTAACATGTGCATGCTCTCCTTGGACGGTTCGAACAGCACCTGGTCAGCTGAGCCCCACGCATGTAAAGCAGACTGGCAAGCGCAAAGGGATTCGAGCACCGAGCTGTCCCAGGTCGCATGGCGAAACACACGCCAGCAATTCAGATCATTTACAGATGCGGCGTCCAAACAACCCAAGCGTGAAATTGAATCCCGCGCGTTAGAGTAATAGATATTCCAGAACGGTGGGCCAAGCACAGTACCCTGAAAAACCAGATCTTCAAGTTGAAACGAATATGAAAGCACATCATCAACAGCAATATGAGGAGTTCTGGGGGCGAGCCAAGAAGAGATGACCTTCAGGAAGGTGTCGTTCACCCTTTTCGCTTTGAGCTTCTCCACCAAATGGTCCGCTCACACGCGGTCAAATGCGCCTGAAACATCTGGGCAAAATAAGCAAAAGCGATTGCCTCGACCAACTTCCAAAAAAACAGCTGCAGACAGCGAATGCGAGGGCATCCTTATAACCACGGCCTCTGTGATACGCGAATTGCTTATCACCGTATCTTCCCGTGGCCTCAGAGAAGGGCAGAAGAAAACTTGCTAGCACCCTTTCCACTGAGTTCGCAACGTGTGACGTCAGATGTATGCTTCTATAGTTGCCTGGCTGCGAGCGGCTACGCCTCTTAAACAAAGGGAACAGCCAGTGGACCTTCCGTGCTGAAGGCCACGCGCAGCTCTTGAGGACGAGGCGAATCATGAATGCAATGAGCAGCGCAAGTTGCCGGGCACATCGCTTCAAGAGGCGGGCAGAAATGGCGTTTGGACCTGTCTTGGAGTCTCCTCGCAGTTGCCGTAGTTCTCAGAATATTGCACGTACTCGAATGTGTGCAAAGCAAGACATGTGCTGATCCGTAGGTCGCGTCGTTGTGGAGAATTCATTTTCCACTGCGGCTGGCAAGCCGAACTTCGTGCTGAAGGTCGTCTTGAATTAGTTCGCCTTGCTCTCTGAGGTGGTTGCCCTCTGGCCGTCGCCATCAACCCGAGGAGGTATCGATGAGGACGAAGACCGGCCAGCTCGGGGCAACAGTGCATTACACAACGAAAACCATTTCTTCGAAGAAGGCTCCAATGCAAGAATACGCTGCCGAGTTCGGGCCACGCACTTCGCGTGCTCCTGCCGGAGACCTTCTGAACACTCATGCTGTTTGTGTGCGTGCTCCGCCGTGCCGATTGATCGGACCCTCTCGTCGATCAACTTCCGGGTGAGAAGACGTACGAAACGATGTACCGGGGGCGGAAAAGAGGGGGGTGATGACTAGGGGGGGGGGGATATCATGGCGGGGGCCATGATATTTCCCCAGACTTCATGGCGCCTCTTCTTATTTCGTTACGTCCCTGGCCCCCCCGACGGGCCGCGCACATGCCGCCGGTCATGAATTGCCCCCCCCTTCTTGGACACCCCCCTCTTGGCCGCTCCCGAATGTACGGTGTCTCGGAGTATATGTTTTTGCAGGTGTTGTCAGATGCTCAGAAAACTTCGTCGCAGCAGTTTCGGCATTGCGGTCGCGGAAGGAATTCCGACAATCATTAGACGACAAAGCGTGATTTAAACCTCCCCAGTCGGCAGCGCTGAAGTTCCAATGCTCTCTGACGATCGGCTCTGAGAGGGAAACTCGCAGCGAAACACGTGTAAGCACAATCCTATGATCATTGATGTCAGGCAGAACCGAAGTAGAAACACCAGATAACAAGTCGGCGAGAACAAGATCCACCAGACAAGCTCCACGAGTAGGTTGCCCCACCTTCTCCATGAGCCCCACACTGCTGCAGATTCTGTGCAACTCTTTTCCCTCGACGGTGTTGCTGTGGGAGTACTGGAGCGACCGCTGCTTGTGACTATTCATATCGCCCACAATGAGTGAAGCAGTGTCCAGAGAGCGGATATACTCAACTTCACCATGGCACGGCGGACGGTACCACACAGCAAACAACAGAGGACCTTGATCCGTATGAATAATATGCCAGTTGCGTTCATGCCCATCTGAATCTGAAACATGCACAATGTATTTAGTAAACGCCTCCGTCGCCAACAACAAAATGCCTCCTCCTTTTCTCCCGTCCTGCCGGTCCAATCTGGATACTTGCACGTAACCTTAACAGAAATATTGCGAATAGATGGGTCAAGAGAATATGTTGCAACAGCAAGTACATCTGGAAACCCGGCTGGCTCCAAACGGTAGTAAAATTCAGCACTATGAGACACACAACCGCACAGGTTGACATGCATAATGGTGAAACTCACGTCAGGAATTGGCGACTCGGGCTCGGATTTCCGCGAGCTGTCGCCAGGAGGGCGTTGGGGACCCGATTGGGCATTCCGGCATTCCACAGGCGGCGCCTGCGCAAGAGAGCATTATGGGAACGAGGACCGCGGCGACGAGCTCGTCGGGTCACCAACTGGTGGGGCCGTTCTTCTGTCATACAATGGCGGGCGGAGAATCCTGACCATGCTGCGACAGGGACACAGTGCTATGGGATGGAAAGGTGGGAAACAGGAGGCATGAAGGTGCCCGTGAGGTCCTCCTGGCACTGTTCGAATGCCACCTCCTTGTCCACGACCACGTGCCGCTCGCGCAAGCCGTCTACCTTCCTCAAGATCTCCACGTCCTTCCCGGATTCGGCGCCCGACTCCTTGATCAAGCTCTCCGCCTTCCTGAGGGCGTAGTTCCGTTTCTTCTGGTGCTGCGTGCGGGCGGGCTTCTCCAAGAGCATTTGCTTTCGCTTCTTAAATCAAACTTGGAAGCTTGAGCACGGGACACAAAAATTGAGCCACGTCAGGGTTGCAGAATTCGACCCACGATCCCTTGGACAATTTCTGACAGTTGCAGGGGCCCGTGAAATCTTTGCCGAAACCGATTTGGCGGAACTAGGAAACATGCGGCCTCAAGAATTTCTCCATCTCCTGGGTCCTGGAGTCCTCCGAGACCCCCTCCGGCCACCTCAGAAGGTTTTTGTATGCAGGAGTAGACGAGGATGGTGGTCACGCGGACGTCGAGCTCGTGGAGGCGATCTTGGATGGGGTCCACGGCCTCGGATACCTTAGTCTTGATCTCTTGCTTGAGGTTAGTCGAGAGCTCCTCCAGGTCGCTCTTTAGGGCCATATTGTCCATCTTGTAAGACAAAGTCGTTATGGCCTGCAGGATCTCCAGATGGCCATCGATGCTCGGTGCCGCCCCCGGGAAATTGGATGACGCTGCAACCTGTTCGGCCATACGTTTAATATTGTCGTGCTTGGCCTTTTGAGGGGACTGTGACAGGCCTCGCTTGCCTGCCTTGGCAAATGCATCAATAAGGTTTCGCTGTCCATCCTCCATCGTGATGCGCAGAATTGCAGAAGAGAGAAGCAACAAGCACAATATGGCATAAAGTGTAGACAGAAGGGGATCGAATACAGAGAGTTGGATATTCAGACTTGGATATTGATATTCACTCCTGACTCCTTGAGCCCTTGATCCGGGCTTGAGCCATGGTAGTCAGCTAGATTGCAGTAACAAGAAAACAGCTTCCAAGCTCAGGAGTTTTCAACGTGCGGCGCTACAACCGAACCGACAAATTCCACGGTTGCATGCATGTTGGAGGTTACGAGTCACAGGCAGACATTTCTTCAGTCGGTTGGGATGCCATGGTTTGTGGCTTTTCATTTCGGGGAGGCCGTGCCGCGTTTGTTGTCACAGATGGACGCCGAATGGGCCGGGTCTCGCTTGCTTTTCCGTAGCCGTTTTTGTGCCATTGGCGATGTTGCATCATTTCTCCTTATTTCAAGCCTTCCTCTCTTGTCTCTAGCTCCAGGTCGACTCAACACGCATGAGGGCAACTCGCTGCTCAGAGATTATAGCCGGTTTTGACGTCGTTTTAGTTACAGGCCATTGGGCGACAACATCTTGATTGGCGTTCACCGCGCCGCCAACCTCTTGGGAGCCCTGGATGCCACTCTTCCAGGGGTCGTTGTCGTAGAAGCGTCTCGGCGCCGCGCGTCCACCTGGGAAACCCTGGCCGTCCTCAAAAGGGTGCCTATTGGGTCGTTTGGGGGCCTTTCGAGCCCTCTTGGGGGCCTCTGGGGGCTACTTGGAGGCCTGTGGGGCTCTTGGGGGCATGTTCGGGGTCTTGGGGCTCATCTTGTGGGGGAGGGCTCCCAGGGCCCCTTCGAGATCCCGTCAGAGAGCGATCTTTGAGGCCTCCTGGGTTGTCTTCGACACACTGAAGACCGGAAAGGCGAGCACGTCAAAAAGTTGCTTTTTCGCCCCAAAACAAAGCTTAAAACATATCTTTCCCTCTTGGCGCCCTCTTGGGGGTCCTTGCCTCTGTTGGGCCTTCTTGGGAGCCTCTGTGGCTACGCTGACGGCATCTGGGGCCATCTGAGACCCATCTCGGGCCGTCCCAGAGCATTAGTGGATATTCATTCAGCTTTCTTCGACAGATTTTGCGCGCTTGGGGGCGCTTCTGGGCCAGACGAGTCCTCCGGCACTTTCCCTCCCCCTTCCAAGCCGGCCGCACCGGGCTCCTAGGGGAAGGGCCTGTGTAGGGGCAGCGATCTCACACGCGGAGGAGCTCCAGGGCTTCGGCGAATGGCTTTAGTTTGCGCATTGGGAATTCGTTTTTGCTAGCATGGCGCGGACCATTCTTGCTTTTTGAGTTCGCTCGGGTTGGGCTCGCCACAAACTCTGCTAATCTCATTCATGATGTTGGTAATCCACTGGGCCAATCACTGTTCCGTGCATTTCATCGAAGAGTTTGGTCAGCTTGGGACCGCGGACTTCTTTTGTGGGCCGTGCCGATCGTAATTGGAGAGTTGGGATGCAATTTCTTCTCCCAAGTCGCGATCCCAGAGTCTGGCAGTGGCATGTACCAGCTGGCATCTATCTTCGTTTGTCGTGGTGCTCAACGCCCTTCTTGGGCATGTGCTGGTAGGCAAGAGTCTGATCTTCTACCGTCGGCTTGCGCGTGCATGCATCTGCGGCGCCGCTGCTCCGGCACCCGCCTCGGGATGGAGTTGCCGCAGCACCTCCCGCGGCTCCTCCTCCCCGCGGCGCTCGCCCCCCCCCCGCCCGCCGGCGCCCCCCCCCCCGCATCCCCCGCGCAGGTGGGGCGCTTCGTGGAGCCGTGGGACGCGCCCGGCTCCTCCCCGACCGACTGGCTCCAACCCGCCCCCCGCTCCGCCCCGCGGCGGGCTGCCGCCCCCTCCTGCGGCGGGGGGCCTCTCGGCGGCCCCCCGTCGGCGGCCGGCCGGCGGGCTCGTTGCGCAGATCGCCGGCGGGGAGGCGTGCCGTCTGGGGCGGTAGGGCCGTCGAGCGCGGAGCCAGGCTGGAGAAAGTACAGTGCTGTTTTCAATACATGCTCCGCGTGTGGATCATGTATCAAAAATGCAGGGGTTTGTATTGAAAACAACGATGCTGTCATGCATAAATTCATTCATACATTAGTCATGGATTAAACATCCTATATGTCTAGAATCCGATGTATTAATTATCCCGGCAAAGCAACCTAACAGCGATGACAGTCGCAGTGGCAACGGCATTCGCAATCACAGCCTCAGCCTCTGCCTGCCTGAGTATCAGCCTGCCTCACTCTCAGCCTCAGCCTGCCTCAGCCTGCCTCAGCCTCAACCACAGCCTGCTTCAGCCTCAGCCTCAGTCTGCCTTCAGCCTCAGCCTCAGCCTCAGCCTCAGCCTGCCTCAGCCTCAGCCTGCATCAGCCTCAGCGTCTGCCTCAGCCTGCCTCAGCGTCTGCCTCAGCCTGCCTCAGCCTCAGCCTCAGCCTCAGGCTCAGCCTCAGCATCAGCCTGCCTCAGCCTCAGCCTCAGCCTGCCTCAGCCTCAGCCTCAGCCTGCCTTCAGCCTCAGCCTCAGCCTCAGCCTCAGCCTGCCTCAGCCTCAGCCTGCATCAGCCTCAGCCTCAGCCTCAGCCTCAGCCTGCCTCAGCGTCTGCCTCAGCCTCAGTCTGCCTTCAGCCTCGGCCTCAGCCTCTGCCTCTGCCTCAGCCTGCCTCAGCCTCAGCCTCAGCCTGCCTCAGCCTCAGCCTCAGTGCCTCAGCCTCCGGGCATTCAAAATGTGGCCCGGGAATGGAGTTCTGGGAAGTCGAAGAGCACGAAGTGGCCTACAGTTGGCTCCGGGCATTCAAAATGTGGCCCGGGAATGGAGTTCTGGAAACTCGAAGACCACAGTGGCCTACAGCTGGCTCCGGGCATCCAAAATGTGGCCCGGGAATGGAGTTCTGGGAACTCGAAGACCACGAAGTGGCTTACAGTTGGCTCCGGGCATCCAAAATATACGCCGGGAATGGAGTTCTGGGAGCTCGAAGACCGCGAAGTGGCTTACAGTTGGCTCCGGGCATCCAAAATGTACGCCAGGAATGGAGTTCTAGCAGCGCCAAGAGCGATTTTGCGAGGATGTCCCAGGCGATTTGGGCTTCGGCGGCAGCCGCCCCGGGTCCCGCCCCGACCCCCCTGAGGAGTCATGATGCTCTCTTTTGACACCACTAGAAACCTATCAGTCTTCGCTGTTAGGTAAAAACTGCCCTGTGCCCTCCAGGAAGGGATCGGGGGCTCTGGGACCGAGGACTGAAGGAAGAAGCCACAGCGTGTCGGATGTCGGAGTGCTGAACACGAGGTGTTACACCGGGTGAGGGGAGGAGGGGGAGGAGGAGGAGGCGAAGGAGGAGGGGAGAGAGAAGAGTATAGCGGCGAGGAGGAGGAGGAGGAGCAGGAGCAGGAGCAGGAGCAGGAGCAGGGAGAGGTAGGACGCGTCGGCGGAGATCAACAAACAAACATCTGCAGTACATATCAGCATCAACAGGAGGAGGAGGAGGAGGAGGAGGAACCTGGGTCGGGGCGGAGCGGCAGGGGGACGAGGGGAGGGATGCGCCGATCCAGGAAATCCGCGCTGACCTCAGGAAGTTTATGGATGATGCAGGTCCCTCTGCGGTCGGACTGAGGTATCAGGTTAAGTCGGGCGTGTCCCCCTACAGGGGGATTTTGTGCGACAATTTAAGAATACCTCAAAACATACTCCAAAAATGCTCAAACATAGCCAAAACATAGTCCCTAGACTATTTTTTGATTAGTTCTTGATTATGTTGGAGTGTTTGTTGACTAGGTTTTGATTTTTCGCCGAGCATCCCCCTGTAGGGGGACAGGCCCGACTTGAGTAGAAGGTCGAGGTCGGGTCGGGGAGGGTACCTTATTTTTCTTAGAGTCTGTTTGATGCTCCTGGGCATCCTGGGGGAGGGCACCCTCGCGTGTTCCGCGTGCTCTGGCCGGCAACGGGGGGTCTCATGTACTTGAAGGATGCTGCGCCCTCCCAGGCCCGGCGGTGCTCCCCGGAGGGGGAAAGAGAGCCTCGTCGCCGCGGCGGGCAGCCCACCGTGCCGCACCCGGGGGGGGAGGGGGGGGGGACGGGCGCGGGGCTCGCGGGCCTGGCTTTGGCCTCCGCCGCACGGGTCAGGCGGCTTTGCTTTGGGCTCGGCCAGCGCCCGTGGTTCTGCTTTGACAGGCGGGCCACGGGCCCGCACGCGCAGCCGCGTGCTTTCAGCAGCGGCGATGGCGATGGACGTCCGAGACTGCCCCCCCGCCCACTCTGGGCGTCGCGGGGAGCACGGTGTGGATGGAAAGCTCGGCGCCCGTGGCGGGAAGATTCCTGTCCAGGCCCCCCCCACTCTAGCCCTGGGGGTGGGCTTGGGGCGTGTGCAACTGGTTCTCATCCTCACAACCATTTGCGCTTCAAAGACCATGCATCTACAATATCGAATGCCTCGGAAAGTAAGCGGAGATGTATAGCATCACTCAAATCAGCTGCTGACCTGTACATCTTTTTCATCACAGGCATTAAAGGAAACCATACAAGCAGCAATTGCAGGGGCACGGACAAGACGTCGGTCGCCCACGGCAGGGCCCCTGTCCGCCCCAGGCCTGCGTGAGCTGCGCGAGGCGCGGCCGCTGCGAGGCGTGCAGAGTCTGCCCCGCTGCCCCCGGCGAAGCGCACGTCACCGAGCACGAGCGTCGCCTGCCCGAGCGCGGGACTGCCGCCGCCTCGGGTCCGCCGCCCCTGGCTGACCTACATCAGAGCGTGAATTACCTCCCCCGCTTTCGCTTCCAGGGAAAACCAAGTCATACCACGCGCCTCCTCGTCAAGCAGCCTGACCCGTACAGGCCGTGGTAGGTTTGTTTCCCCCTACTACAGAAGTCTTGTGTGCTGGGCGCCGCCAGCGCCTCGCACAACAGCGCGTGGCTGCAGGTCAGCCGCCCCGGAGTCTTCCGAGGGTGGTCGTAGGGAGCTGGGCCGCCAAGGCAGCGGACGGGGGAGGGGGGGGGGCGAGGAGGAGTCGGCAAATGAGAAGCAGAGGAGGCCGGATGCGGTGGAGGAAGGAAAGTCCGGGGGACAAAATCACCCGGACCGGACAACTGGCGTTTACTAACCGGCCTTGGGCGTTCACTAAAAAGCCCTGCCATTTATGGGGGTGGAACTTGTTGCTCTCTACAGAAGGTCACAAACATAAAAACTCGGAGGTCCGCGCGGATTTCCCGGATCCGCGCTGAGGCCCCCTGGCGGCGCCTCCGGCGCCGCCCCTGGCGCGCTCTGCGCTCCAGGGGGTGGACCTGTTACCCTCGTAGGAGCGTTTTTTGGGATTCCGGCAAGTTTACTTGCATGGCGTTCGCCCTCCCCCCCCCCCCTCGCCCCCTCGCCCCTCTTCAAGAAGCGAATACTAGCGTGCAAGTGCCTTTCGACTAGCGTGATTTCCGCGCCCCCCCCCCGGGCTTGCTTCAGGCTCAGCCCCCCCCCCGTCCATGCAAGTAAACTTGCCAGAGTCTAAAAAAACAGGCTCTAGACAGAGTGGTCACGAGCGGTGCAGGCTTTCGATCTGCGGCGAGCTGGAGTCAGCAGGGGGTCCGCTGACGGCGGGGCGCGTCGGAAGCGACTTGTGCACGCAGGAGAGCAGGGAGGCAGGAGCGAGGGGGGGGGAGTGGAGGGTTTCTCCGAAGGGCTTAGGCGACCCGTCCTTCTCCTCCTCCTCGTCCTCCTCCTCCTCCACCTCCTCCTCCTCCTCCATCTCCTCCATCTCCTCCTCCTCCTCCACCTCCTCCTCCTCCTCCTCCACCTCCTCCTCCTCCTCCTCCTCCTCCTCCTCCTCCTCCTCCTCGGGTCGCCTACGGCCCAGGGGGAAACCGTGCAGGGGGGAGTGGGAAGTTCTGGGGTCAGGCTCAAACAATCGCCGCTGTCGGTGCGTGCGCAGATGGACCGCAAGTCCAGGGCGTGAGGAAGTGAGACACGAGCGTCATGTCTGGCATGCCCTGCTCACGGAAAGGGAGCGAACACAAAAACAATGTCTGTTTCGAGCGACCCGTGAAAAGACCCGGTCGAGTGATCGCCATCATCTGACCGATTGATAGTTCGCCTGCTGCAGTGAGCTCATGCATCGGTAGATGTTTGCACGCGGCTTGCAGAGGAGTGGGTGCGCGCAGTCGGCGCCATTCGGTCGTCTAATTTCCGTTTTCAAAACACATTGTTGTTTATCAGAGCGTGAATTACCTACCCCGCTTTCGCTTCCAGGCAAAACCGAGTCATACCACGCGCCTCCTCGTCAAGCGGCCTGACGAGTACAGGCCGTAGTTTGGCATCGCTTGGTATCTCTTGGAAGCGAGGGTGGTCAAAAGCGAGGTAGGTTTGTCTGCCCCCTAGTTTAGGCTATCCGTGCCAGCGCGCACATCCTTCCGATGTCCGCGCCCGCGGAGGCGCCAGCGGGCGATCGCCAGGAGAAGCGGCCACAAAAAGGCCTGCAGGTCGAGTGGTCGCGGCGGGCCGTCGGGGCAGGCTTCCAATGTCACCATTCGTGTTTTTTCTGTGAAACGCAAGACCCGAGTAAGCCGGAACTCGGGTTTGCCGACGTTTTTTTTGACGAGCGCGTCCTGGATTTTGACGGTCCAGTTTTCGTGGGATGTCTGCAGCGGGAGTTCGCGTCAAATTTCAGATTGGGCCTCGTCATTTTTATGATGCCCCCGTCGGGCCAACCCGAGTCCCCCGTACCCGAGTCTTACGTCTCCCCGATTTTTGTGTTCCTTTTGGTGTCACCATTTGTTTCCCTCTTCGTGTCACCGTTCGTGTTGGTTGTTGCGGCACCGCTCGTTGGGCTTCCCCTCTGAGCAGCTAGGGACATAACGGCTTCCGTTCCCTGGAGAAGAGAGGCCATGTACGTATTTTGGTGCCCGCCAACTTGAGAAACGAGCACGGTCAAGTTGAAACATCGTTCTTCCATCGGTGTGTGGATCTACGATTATGAAGCGGTAGCCTTGATTGGCCATGTAATCCTTTGTGGAGGTCGCGCGGGCAGGCGCCGATGCAGCGTGGCGCTGGGCGTGCTCTGCGCTGCACACGGTTACGTGTCATTGTCATAATTGGCTTCGACCTCTCGTTGGTGATCGTGCGTGCAGGGAAATGAGGCTGCGACCGGTACAAAGGCGGAGCGGAGGCGGAAGCGAAGGAGAGGAGGCAGGACGCGGGGGGGCGGTCCGGACGGCTTCCCCCGCCGGCGCCAGCCCCCCTCCCCGCCACCACGTGCTGGAGGCGTGGTCAGCGGCAACGGCCGGGCGGGGCTGGCGCAGGGAGGGAGGAAGCATCGCCCCCCAATTGCCCACCGATCGCCGATATGGGCCTCACAACTTCGCCCCGCCCAGGAAATTGCAGTTTGCCGTCGGGGGCCAAGCGCCGATCCCACGGCGATGTATCGTAGAATTTCCAGTTCGATGTTTGCCCCCCAGAGGCAGTCCCCCCCTTGTCGTTGCTCCTCAAGGGGGATCTGCAATGAGGAACAGCTCGGGTTCGGAGGGGGCTCGCTGTTCCTTCGGGCCTTCCACGGTTGTTCCTCCAGCGCTGCTCGTGCACCGAGGCGCATCCGAGGCCGAAAAGTGTCTCCGTCGATTCTGTAGCATTCCTTTTGGTAGCAGCTGGACTCCGGAGGGGGGCAGGCACCGTCTTCCCCTCGCACGCCCTTGTTTTCGCCGTGGGCTCCTGTACCCCTCCCCTCGGAGACGCGGCCAGGGAGCGAGAGAGAGGCCGGCGCCGCCAGGCTAGGCTTCGCGAGAGACTTGGGCTTTGTCATCGACAGGCGCGCGGGCAGCGGGGCGAGGTGCGGGTGCAGGTGGAGGCAGACGTGAGGGGTGATGGGGACGAGGAGCATGGAGCATGGATGTGGCTTGTATCCTCAGACCTATGTACCAGCACGCGTCTCCTGCTGTTGTCTGAGACGGAGGAGGAGGGCGAGGAGGAGGAGGAGGAGGAGGAGGGATCGACAACATATTTGGACGTTCCTGGGCATGCGGGGGCATCTGGGGGCCTCCAGAGCGGGAGACGAGAGGGGGAAGTGGGGCAGAGGGGAGGGGCGGAAGGATAATGGGCAGGAGGACACTGAAGAGAGGAGGAGGGAGGGGGAAGAGGAGGAGGAGGAGGAGGAGGCGGAGGAGGAGGAGGAGGGGGAGGAGGATTCCTCGGGAGGTGCACTGTAGGCATCTCGAGACTGGTACTTGCTAACGAAGCGGATGTTGTGCGAAATATATTGTTTGCGTCTTTCTTGTGTAGGTGGATGTTCTGGCATCGTGGGCGTGTTTGTCATGGTTCCTACGGCGCGTCGCTGTTTTCATCCTCGTCACTTCCTGTGCGCGGCACCTCGTTGTCCTCGGTCCCCGTTCCTCGTCGGCTCGGCGTATCTTCCTGCTGTCTCGTTGGCGTGTCTCGACGGGGCGTTTAAGAGAGTCTTTAACGGTCGAGCGCTGCCCCACCGCTGGCCCACCGCCATCTGAGCCTCTGGCGGTCGCCGGCTTGGAACAAAGTTTGTATGGCATTCCTTGGGCATCGCGCACTTAGGTAGTCGAGGAGGTGAAGTGGGAGAGGAAGGGGTGGCGGAAGAGGGTGGAGAAGTAGGGGGAGTGGGAAGGATGAGGACGGAGGATGATGAGGAGGAAAGAAGGGGGGAGGATGGGGAGCAGGGAGGAAGAGGATGGGGTGGAGGGTGAGGATCGCGCGATCTGGAGATCCGCGCCAGAATGCAGAAGTAGCTTGGAGCTGACCACGGCGGATGCCTTACTGTTGCATGCGGAACCACCACCCCCACTGAGCCAAGCATCCGGAATGGCGCGTGGGCAGCAGAGGGCGCGATTGGCAGCTCTTCGTGGCGACCGAAGAGTGCGATGCAGAAGGACTGCGTGCACACAGAGACTCGACTGCGATGCGAGACACACACTGCAAACACTTCGGGATGATTGCGCAAGGCTCACGCCGCAGCGCACTCCGGAACACTGTCAGCTCGCCGTGGGATTCGCGCTCCAGGCTGGACGACGCGAGCGGCGACACTGGGAGCCGCGTGCGGCACAAAGTGCGAGTACGACCGCGACGACAACAACCACGAAAACGACCACGACAACGACAATGATGACGACGACCACGACGACGACGACCACGACGACGACGACAACGACGAGGAGGCGCGAGTACGACCACGACGACGACGACGAGAGCGAGAAGGATGACCGAGACCTCCGTATCCTCGCGATCTCTGTTGGATCCGCAGTCTCCTGGACCGCGCCGCGGCCCAGCTGTTCGTCTCGAGCAGTTGCTCTGTTGCTCCCCCTGAGCAGTTCTCTGACGGGCTGGTTCCCGAGGGGCCGAATACTGCCAAAGAGAGAAGATGCGGCCCGATCTCTTCCGCGCCGCTGGAGGTCTGGTGACGGCGAGGCGGAGGAGGAGGAGGACGGCGAAGACACTGAAGCGAGCAGGGGACCTCGCTGAGTGATCTCCCCAGCAGGGTGTGGCCCCCGAAGCCGGAGTCGGTGGCCCAGGGCTTCACGCGCACCCTGGGCGTCATGGGCAGGGCCTGCACCCGCGTCGTCGGTCGTCGTCGCCCGTCGTCATTGCCTCCGTCCAGTTGTCGTCGTCGTCCGTCGTCGTCTCCGACGTCGGAGTCGCCGCCGTCGCCGACCGTCGTGGGGAAGGCAGAGGAGAAGGAGAAGCGGGAATGGGAAGCGGAGGACGACGAGGAGGGAGAGTAGGACGGGGCGGCCAGGAGGAGGAGGGGGAGGAGGAGGGGGAGGAGGAGGAGGAGGAGGAGGAGGGAGGAGGGGGAGGAGGAGAAGGAGGAGGAGGAGGAGGAGGGGGAGGAGGAGGAGGAGAAGGAGGAGGCGGAGGGAGAGTGGTGGCATGGGGGAAGCAAGAGGAGGGACAGGACGAGGACGAGGAAGAAGTGGAGTAGAGGAGGAAGTGGAGTTTCATAGGGAGAGGGGAAGGTCGACGAGGATGAGGATGAAGACGAGAAGATGACCAGGGGGAGAGGGAAGAGGTACAGGAGGAGACTTGGGGGACGCGATTCAGGATTATAAGTAAACGTAGGAGGCCGAAGAGGTGGATGAAGAGGACGACGAGGAGGGAAGGATGACGACCAGGGGGATACGGAGGGAGGCAAGGAGGAGGTGGAGGAGGAGGAAAAAGAGAACGTGAAGCAAGATGGGAAGGGGGAAGAGGAAGAGGAGGAGGCGGATGTCCCATATAGTTGTGCGCTGTTGCAGGCTTCCCGCGCCAGGTCGCCAAAGTGGTTTTTCTTCGCACAGGCGCTGCGGCTCACATTGCCGGAGCCCGCGCAGAGCAAAGCATAAGGATGTCCCAGAGAGACCCCCCATCGCCTGTCCACCCTGCTCCCCGCTCCTGTTCCGCCTTCTCCTCCTCCGCCTCGTCGTCTCCTCTTACCTTCACACTGACTGGGTCAGCGGCGACTTACAAACGCTGATCTGGCACAGCTCAGACTCAATAGCTCTGCTCCTTGAGGTTCCTCGTCTTGCCCTCGGATGTCGCTGGTGTCGAAATACTGCGCTTATCTTGATGCTTGGCGCTCCGAGTGCCCCCCCCCCGCAGCGGTGGGGGGGGGAGGAGGAGGAGGAGGAGGAGGAGAGGAGGAGGAGGAGGAGGAGGAGGAGGAGGAGGAGGAGGAGGAGGAGGAGGAGGAGGAGGAGAGGAGGAGGAGGAGGAGGAGGAGGAGGAGGAGGAGGAGGAGGAGGAGGAGGAGAGGAGGAGGAGGAGGAGGAGGAGAGGAGGAGAGAGGAGGAGGAGGAGGAGGAGGAGGAGGAGGAGGAGGAGGAGGAGGAGGAGGAGGAGGAGAGAGGAGGAGGAGGAGGAGGAGGAGGAGGAGGAGGAGGAGGAGGAGGAGGAGGAGGAGGAGGAGGAGGAGGAGGAGGAGGAGGAGGAGGAGGAGGAGGAGGAGGAGGAGGAGGAGGAGGAGGAGGAGGAGGAGGAGGAGGAGGAGGAGGAGGAGGAGGAGGAGGAGGAGGTGAGGAGGAGGAGGAGGAGGAGGAGGAGGAGAGGAGGAGGAGAGGAGGAGGAGGAGGAGGAGCAGGAGGAGGAGGGAGGAGGAGGAGGAGGAGAAGGAGGACCGGGTATCTTGGTGGTGGGGATGTTCTCCCATAGCAGGCAGCGACAGGAGGCGGGTGCGGCCCAGAGGAGCCCAGTGGCGAAGCATCGGCCCCCGCTCGCCGATCCCTCGCCGAGGAGGGGTGGGCCGGGTTCCCCAGACCCGCCCGGGAGCGTGCGGTCTCGCCGTCGGTCTGGACGCCCGGAACGGGTACGGAAAGAAGGGGTGCCATGCCCGACAGCAGTCCCTGTCCACTTTGAGCAGGACTCGCTGCCCACGCCGCCGCGGCCGGTGTCCATTTTCGAGACAGGAGGCCGCCTGCCCAGCAGCGGCCGCTGCTGCTTTTGGGACAACACTCGTTGTTGTTGGGCAGTGCACCCACTCTTTCCGTACAGTCGGGGCCCTGAGGAAGGAACCTTTTTCGTTGGGAACAGGCTCCGCGTTCCTTAAGTGTTTCGCAGCTTGCCTCAGGTTTTCCTTATGTTTTCGACAGGAAATCGAAGGTCAACTTCTGGAGAAAGGGGGCCTCGTTCCTTATTTAGGGTTCCTTAGGTCAACGCCCCTTCTGTACGCTGCTGGTTTGGGAGGAGGAGGAGGGAGGAGGAGGAGGAGGAGGAGGAGGAGGAGGAGGAGGAGGAGGAGGGACGAGGGAGGAGGGAGGAGGAGGAGGAGGAGGAGGCCGCACTCATTCTTTCAGTACCCATTTCGGGCGTCCAAGATCGGAGGCCCCGCGCCGATCCATCGGCGAGGGATCGTCGGTTCCATGTCATCGGTTCCCCCCTCGGAGCCCGTCCCCTCCTTCTGGCGCTTTCAGCATTCCACGGTGGAGCGCCCCACACGACTAGCCAGAAGAAGCAGGAGGAGGAGGAGAAGGAGGAGGAGAAGGAGGAGGAGGTAAGGAGGAGGAGGAGGATGTGGGAAGAAGGGGAGGCGGGTAAGGAGGAGGAGGAGGGAGACCAGAGTAAACCCAAGATGCATCAACGATGCTGTGAGAAACCCTCCCCCGGAGTTCCCTCTTCACGGGTCCGTAGAAGAAGCCTTTCCCATTACGGGAAATGGCCAATTCGAAGACAATCGTCTGGACCTTCAACCTTGCCAAAACGCAGTATCTGCTCTGCGGTCTTAACGCCGCGAACCATCATGATTGCATGCTGACAGTTTTAAATCGTAACATAGTTCCGCCCCTGGACTTTCACAGCGAATCAGTGTAGATGTTGCGTCTTGACAATCCTGAACGGAGCCAGAACACCATTCCTGGGGCTTTGGCCCTACGATTCCTCGAACGTGTACACGTTGCTAAGGGGAGAGTCACAGTTTGAAAGCCGCCCGCCCTCAATCCGTGAAACTGGTGCAAATGTTGAAGACTAATGTGCTTGGCACTATGGCGAGAGCCACATGTCGAAAAGGAACCGCCCTTCATCCGTGACACCGTGGCACATTTCGGAGCGAGTGTGCGCGGCGCTACAGCGAGAGCACATGTTGAAGACGGCCCGCCCTCCACGCGGAAAGCTGCTGCAACTGCCAAGCTCCAGGGTCGTAAATGGCGAGGAGGTCTCGGGCGAAAAAGCCAGTCCGCCCCACCGACGCGTCTGGGGGTGCGGCAGGGAGGAGCTACTTCTGAGGAAAATGGATGGAGAAGAAGGAGTGTGAAGTGGAGGAGGAGGAGGAGGAGGAGGAGGAGGAAGGATTGGGGTGGAGAGAACAATCGTCCTCGTTGGGCTTGCACACGGTGCGACTTCCCTGGGGCGCCTCGCCTGCATTGCGCATGCTCGACTTTGGAACTCGGTTTTGGGGGCGTCGCTTGGCCAGATCTGGCCGCCTCAATTTGTCGATCCGTCGGAGTGCAGGATGCCACCAGAGACATCGCCCTCCTGCTAGGGTTAAGTCGGGCCTGTCCCTCGACAGGGAGAATATTCAAACATATTTAAAAAATGGTGGCATGGGGAAGGTTTTTTTGTTGAGTATTCTTGAGCAGTTTTGGAAGATGATTGTGGGTATGTATTTTTCTTCCGTCCAACATCCCGCTGCATGGGGACACGCCCGACCTGATGCTAGCTGCTAGGGCTTCGTGCTTGAAGCCAGCACTGGGACCCATCCACAACATCCCTCGGGGGCGGGCGGGCCCAGGTCGGCGCGAAAACCCGGGTCGGCCAGGGCCTTGTCGCTGTTTGGGGGGGTGCCACGCCGCAGTTCCCTTCCCTCCTCCTCCTCCTCCTCCTCCTCCTCCTCCTCCTCCTCCTCCTCCTCCTCCTCCTCCTCCTCCTCCTCCTCCTCCTCCTCCTCCTACTCTTCTTCCTCTTCCTCCTCGTGAAGAGAGCTTCCGAAGGCCCCTCTGGAGAGCTTCTGGACACGCGTATTGGGGACCGCTTAGAAAAGGGACCTTCGGGACACGCTGGCAGCCTGGACCACCGCCAGAACGATCTCCACAACCCAGGTCAGCGGAGGGACGGGAGGGGGGTCAGCTGCACAGGGCTCCCAAACCCGGGCGAGCCAGAGGGCTCAGGGTTCATTCCTGTCCGATCGATCCGTTTCGATATCGGTTCTGGCTGACTGGATCCGATTCGACGCCGGTATTCCGACGCTCCGACGATGCATGGTGTTGTAGTGCATGTTGGCGCAGCCGATCCGATGCGATTCCGACTCCGTGCCGATGCTGCCCGACGCGCTTGCCGATCCGGCCCGGTTTCCCGATTTGGAGGCTGCTCGATCCTGCTCTTGGGAGATCACTCAGAGGGGACCCGCTGACCCCCGAGAGTGATGACACCCGTTACTTGCGCAGGAGGAGCAAGAGGAGGAGCGAGGGCCGAGGAGCACGAGGAGGAAGGGGTGCAGGATCGAGGCTCCAGACGTCGGACCGGCCCCCACCTTCACCACCCACCAAACCACCCCAACCCAACCCGAAGGCCCCAATTTATCCTCGATTTCCAGTTGGGGGGGGTCGTGGAACATCGAGAAAACACATATGGAACCCGTACCCCCCCCAACCCGAAATTCGGGTCTTCGGGTTGGGTTGGGGTGGTCTGGTAGGTAGTCACACCTCGCCTCCAGGGCTCGAGCCCCGAGCGGTGCTTCTTGTGGCGATAGCTCGTGGCCGTTCTCGGTGGGCGGTCGCTCCGCCGCAGGGGCCAGGGCGCAGACGGAGAACGACGAGAGAACGACGAGAGGCCGACAGTCACCACGGCCAGCTTCACCTCGACCTCATCCTCCTCCTTTTCCTCCTTTTCCTCCTCCTCCTCCTCATCCTCATCCTCGTCCTCCTCCTCCTCCTCCTCCTCCTCCTCCTCCTCCTCCTCCTCCTCCTCCTCCTCCTCCTCCTCCTCCTCCTCCCCCTCCCCCTCTCCCTCCTCCTCCCCCTCCTCCCCCACCCCAACCCGACCCGAAGGCCTCAAATTGACCTCCATTTCCAGTGGGGGGGGGGGGGCGGGGAACATCGAGAAAATACCTATGGGAGCCGTACCCCCCCAACCCAAAATTCGGGTCTTCGGGTTGGGTTGGGGTGGTCGGGCAGGTAGTCAGACAGCGAGAGCCGCTGTTCTCGGGGGTGGAGAGAACCCCCAACAGTGACACGTCGATTAGCGAGTTGTCCGTTCTCGGTTCTCGAGAGGGCGCCGCGGCCGTCAGTTTCCAGGCTTGCGCCCGCCGGGTTTGGGCCTCAGGTCGTGTTCACTGAACCACGTCTTGCTAAAGGGGGGTCTGTCCATCCCCGAAGAGAGGCCGACGGCGAGAGCCGCCGTGCCGCTCGCGCCCCCCCTCGCCTCCCGCCGCCGCGAGATCGCCCGGGCGGTCCGCGAGGGCGCCGCCTCGGTCGACGGCTCGGGGCTGCCGAGGCCGCCCGCCCGCCGCGCGCCGCGCAGCTCCCCACTGGGCGGCCGGCGCGCGGGGAGCGGCCCAAAGGCAGGCAGTGGCGAAGCGTCGAAGAGGGTCCCGAATAGTCTGGGGGGTAGTCTGGGGAATACGCAGGAGGCGCCTCTGGCGCTGTGCGTTGCGAGCAAAAGCACAGCAGAGCCACAGGAGAGCGCGGCATGGACAGTGCAGCTCCGCACACGTGACACAGGTCAACGAGCCAGAACACAGCAAAGCCCCAGGAGAGCGAGGCATTGACAGTGTAGCTCAAAAAAAAGCAGCGCTGGGATAAGGTGGGACCAGCGTGAAGTCGAGCCCGTCCCTTTACAGGGGGGATCTTCAAAAATAGTAACAAAATAGTCTGGGGACTACTTTTTAATATTTTTGGACCACTTTGGAATATTTGGGGGGTATCTGTTTTTGTCCGTCGAAAGTCCCCCTGTAGGGAGACACGCCCGACTGAAGACCAGCGCTGGCCTGCAGGGGCCCTCGCTGGCCGTCTGGGCCGGCGCGGGGCGAGCGGGGGGAGTGGCGCAGGCCCGCGACCGTTCGCCGTCCTCCTCCTCGAACGAAGGATTGCAAAAAAACCCTTTGAACGAAGGATTGCAAAAAAAACCCTCGAAGGATTGCAAAAAAACCCTTCGAAGGTTTTTTTGCAATCCTTCGAACGAAGGGTTTTTTTGCAATCCTTCGTTCAAGGGTTTTTTTGCAATCCTCCTTTGGGCACCTCCTGTGCTGCCCCTGCTCCTCATACGCGAATGCGTACGCCTTCCCCCCCTCCTATTCCTCCTCCCCCTTCGTCCGCCTTCCCCAATGTCCCCCTTTCCCCTTGGTCCTGAAGAGGGGGTGGGGAATAGGGAAGAGAAGAGGTGGACGATGAGGAGGGAGACAATCCCGTGGGAGAGGCGGGTACTAAGAGAAACTCGAAGGATCGGAGGTGGATAGACCTCCTACCCTGAGACGTCGATTAAGGAATTGGCCGTTCTCAGTTCGCGAGGGGGCGTCGCGGCCGTCACTTTTGCGGGTCCAGGTCCGTCGGTTTCGGCCCCAGGCCGTTTTCTCTAAGGGGAGGTTTATGAAAGGGAGGTGTGTCCACCGTCGACAAGAGAAGTTCGAAGAAAAAGAAGCAGAAATGCTATAAACATAAACATAAACATAAACATAATATTCAGTCTGGCCTGTCCCCCTACAGGAGGAATATGCAAACGTAGTCATAACATAGTCTGGGGACGATTTTCTAATATGTTTCTTTACCTTTTGGGAGTATGTTTTGAATCTTTGTTGTTTTGCAGCAAAAATCAAAAATTCCGCCTGTCGGGGGATATGCCCGACCTAATCCTAAGAGACACTCGAAGAAAAACAAACGCCATAAACATAAACGTTTGGCGCTCCGCGCGGATTTCTTGGATCGGCGCCTGGGCCCGCTGGCGGCGCCTCCGGCGCTGCCCCTGGCGCGCTCGGCGCGCCAGGAGAAGAAGCCCAGCTCGGATCCAAGAAGTCCCCGCCGAGAGCCAAAAGTTTATGTTTTGCTGCTTGTTCTTCTTTACTGGTCTTCATTTTTTTTGTTCGGGCTCGTGGGGCTCTCCACGGGTCCTGGGACTGTCAGAAAACAACCCAGGATGAAAAACTCGCCCTGGAGGAAGGCCCTGGGGTCCGGGACCCGTTTTTCTCGGGGCCCGTTGCCTCCATTCTAAGCAGGACTCTTTGTCGGCGTCGCCATGGGCGTTATTCATTTGAAACGGAGGGTCACCTGCCCAACAGCGGCCGCTGCCGATTCTGGACAGCATAGGCTGCCCAGCTTGCGGACGTCCAAAATTAGGAGGGGACGATGGGGGCGAATAGCCGAAGGTAGGGGCTTACGCGTGTCTTGGGGCGCCGATGGTCCATGTCTTCGGCGACGCTCCCTGGCGAGTACGTGGAATGCCAGCCCTTGGGCCATTTGCCCCTGTCATCGCCGCCGATAGGAGGGATAGGCCCAAGGGGGAACGCATCGACCCCCAATCGCCTGCTCATCGCCGGCATGGGCCTGATAGAGCCCTCCCTGCACAGGGCCGTGTTCGGTCTCGCTGTCTGGGGCATACTGCCGATCTATCGGTGGTGTATCGCCGTTTCCGAGTCGATGTTTCCCTTCCCTGAGCCTGTGCCCCCTTCTCGTTCCCCCTCAGTTCCAAGGCGGGGTGATCCGCATCCACCGCCCTCGTGGCGAGGAGCCCGTGGACCTCGGGAGGCCGTGGATTGTGGGGGTGTGGGGGTGTGGGGGCATGGGGGTGTGGGGGGGGTGTGGGGGTGTGGGGTGTGGGGGCGTGGGGTGTGGGGGTGTGGGGGCGTGGGGGTGTGGGGGGGCGTGGGGCTGTGGGGGGTGGGGGGTGGGCTGGGGTGGGCTGGGGTGGGGCTGGGGTGGGTTGTGGGGGGGTTGGGGGGGCGGACAGGCAGGCGGGTGCGGGGTGGGGGAGTAGGGGGGGTGGGGGAGGAGAGGGGGTGGGT